TATAAACTAATAGTTAACAATTTCCCCTGTCCACTATTTTGTGAATTACTGTATTATTGTACAAACCTAACGCACTTTTGTAAAATTGTCTTACGCAATATTATTCATGTTCTATCTTTACTCAGAAGAGTATTTTTAAAATTCACTAATATGTATTTTTACACCAATCATAGAGGACCATTTTGGAATAACTACTCAGCATCGTTTGGGGTCTATAAATAACAATAAATAAAAAGTTGAGCATACTCGTATGAGGTATACCTCATACATTGTAGGTGATTGTATGAAACTTTGAATACACTTGGAAAATTATTTACACAAAAAGTACGCGATCATGCAAAAAAAAACCGCATTTTTTAAGGTAGGTAAAAGAATATGAGCATTTTTTTTTTTTACAACTATTTTTCGAACACATCTTAGTAAAACTAATATACCTATAGCTTCTTTGCCACATTCATAGCCTAGAATTTAGAACGAATCGAATTTGTGCCATCACATATTATAATCTAATCTCACGATAGCTTACATTGTCCGAATATGTTTTTAAAATTTTATAACTAAATAGTATATTTATATTGCGGTTAAGTGCAGTTGAAATATTATTTAGTAGATAATACAAACAGAAACCTATATTCAGAATTTAGATTATTAAAAAATATGTAGTAACTAGCAAATATTCCAATAATATGGGCGGATTATACTATCTTTAATCAAACATTTTATAACTGACATGAATAACATAGTATGTGTGTGTAAAAAAAAAACTACATGCTGTTAGATAGCTATCGAAACTATGTGTATTAAAACGTTGCTATTATAACTATTCATTTTTAAAAGAAATATGAAGAAGCGTCGCATATCGATTTTGTTTTTATTAATTTAATGGCCAAACAATAATTATTATTATTAATTTGTAAAAAAAAAAAAAAAAAAAAAACTGAAGATTAAATGATATATACCTACTCGTGAATAACAATATGAGGATAACTATTAACCCGTTGGAAAACTATATATATTTCAAACGAAATCCATCACGATAGGAAGGAAAAAACATAATCAATAAATTGTATTTTTCTTTTAAATTATGTAAATGCTGCAAGTGAGATCCTAATTTATATTAGTCAATACCACCAGTTACACCAAAACTTGCAAAAAGCCGCATCTTTAAGATAAGAATAAACCAGCCAGCATTGTCTAATATCATTTAAAAATATATACATTTTGCATTGAAATCCAGCCCCTAGTAATAACTTACTAGTTACTTAGTAAGTAAAAATCAAGCTATTTATTTTGAAATTTTAATTTGATTTTTGTATTTTTCTCTAATACTGGATATGCATATTATTTTGTATTAGAAGAAACCCATAGCACTTAATAAGTATTTTTGATCATCAGTCAAAGTACAATTTACAGCCAACCTTTGAAAAAAAATATAAAATGAAATCATATTGTTTTTTTTTCTACAATGTTTTAAATTATAACTACGTAACTATTTTGTAGGCGTATCAAAACATCCTCTAACAAATGGTAAACATGATAAATGTATAATATTGAGAAAATTATATATGACGAGATTGTTACTTGTGATAACTGCCTATTTCACTCCTATTTGTGATTTATCAAATTATAATGAAAAGCTAGCTGTAATCCGGAAAAAAAACTACAATACGTATAAAGACGGACTACATACTACACACGATGGGTGGGCAGTGGACCACTGTTGTAGGTGTGAAGTTGGGAGGGTAGGGTATAAAGAGATATTTAATTTGTATCTGTATGCAAAGATAAACCATTGATAGGTAATGAAAAATAAATCGGAGCGAAATTTTTGTTATACATACACGTACACAGAAATGAATCCAGAGAAAAGATCTGGGGGGAGGGCAACAATTTTTGTACAACACAAATACAATTGAAATATAATACAATATATTATTTTACCATGCATATTCAGTGATTGGAACATAGTAATATCAGGGTCTATAGAGTTATAAAAAAAAAAATCGGAGAAATAATATTATGGGGGGCCTGGGCCCCTAACCCCCCTGGATTCATCCCTGCACGTACATTTCTCCGTTTTATTTCAGTTATTATGAAAACCACTTGGGAAATTAAAATAATGACCTCTCTAAAGTAGGTACCGAAGTAAATATAATTTATTTTTAGAAAGAGTGCTACATCTTGATATATTGGAACATATATATTTCTGATGAAAAAATTGCTCACAGAAAATTAAAAAAAGAACCGATATGGGAGACGCCCGTCCCCCGTAGGCCATTGTTGTAGCTGGGTAGTTGAGAAGGTAGGATACATAAAATTATTTATTATAATTTATACCTGTAATCAACTATAAACCATTGCTAACGAAAAACGATTCAGAAGGAAGTTCAGGTTAGACATATTTTGAAGGGCGTCATATGTTTGAGCGAGTTCCTCATAAAGTGTTCGAGCGAATTTCCAATAGGTAACGTGTTTGAGCGAGTTTAAGTGTAATGTAAAATATAAAAGATCGCCCAACACATTACAAAGTATTTTAAAATCACTCGCCCAAACGTATTGCGGAAAATTGCCCAAACGTAAACAACCCGTTTTGAAAGGCCCCAATATTTAAAATTTTTAAACTTTTTGTAAAACTAATACATTCCTCGCTCCAAATCTAAAATTACTAATATAAAACAAACGTATTAACGTATTCAGAATGTGTATTCGAATATTTTTTTTTGTATCTAGAACAATTAAAATACTTTAAAAGACTGAGCTCAGTACCTATACCTACTCAATATATTTTTTGAAGACTCGTCTACTAGATTCATTGTATTTAATTCATTTTTGTACTTTTGCTTTTAACACTTCAACCAAGGTTACCTAGTATGATTGTACTTATTATAATCAAATTGATTGTCACCAATACTTATCTGTACATCTTAAATCTATGTTATGCAACAAAAACAGATTTAGCTCAGATTAGGTTACTTGACACAAATGCATAGTACGGTATTTAGAGTGGACCCAGATTTTAACTATATTGTAGTCGTTGAAAGGGAGAAGAACTGTAGAATTAACATCTAATTTTTGTCTTAAATACAGTACGCATATCAGAAAGTCCAGTGTATATATGGCACCAGTTAATGTAAACTTGAAAATTGTATGTTATCATAACCAAAATAATTTTTCTAATAATATATTATAATATTTATTCCTACAGTTTGTTACAAACATTGAATATTTTAATTTGTTCACTGGATTTCTCATAAATAAAATCAAAAAATATAATTCTAACATTGACCTCATTTCATAAAATAATAACAAAAACTAATAATCAACAATATCATAACGAAAAATGAATAGATCACAATGTAACCATTGTACAATTGTACGTTTATCATAAGAGTTTATTGTTTTTAATAATGTGAGATTTACATTACATAATATTATTAAGTAGTAATTTATTACCATCAATGTTACTCTCAAATATTTATTTTCGGTTTATTTAGTGCTACTGCTATATTATCAACAAATGTATATTTTATATTGGAAATTAAATAATAATATTTGTAAATATTAAACTGAACAAAAAAAAGTAATACCAGATAGATTCTTAAATAATCAATTTTCAAATAAATTACAACATAAAGATTAAAATTATATATAAAATATATAGTTAGTTTATTTTAAAATTTGTGTTTGTCAAATACAAATTATAATGCTTTGAATAGTCATAAACATATTATTATATTTTATGAAAAGTATTTCCATAGAAACAAAATAAGATTTAAAAATTGACTTGTTGGCGAAAATGCTTTTGAAACTTGTTAGCTTTGACACTGAGTTGCATATATAGTTTTGATTGAACTTGTTTCATAATTTTCAAATCTCTTGCTTTCCTAAATAATGAAAAATATTTTTGTTTATCATGTAAGCAGTTTAAAGATACAAAATGTACATAGTATTAAATGTAAGATATAAAGAAAATTAATACATGTAAATTCAAATTAAACGTATTTTAATTTTAATAAAATAATTGAATAAAACAAGGCAATCTGTTTGGTTTTTAGTGTTGGTTGACCAAATACACGTATTATATTTATGTATGCATATTATTATGATTGCTCTGTTATCTACTAATGTTAGGCTAATATACAACTAAAGTATATTAATACAAATTAGTAACTATTCTAAAATCTCAAACATATAATCACAAAATTAGAAAGATTGGGTATTTATTTTATTCCAAATATTTTACTCATGATCAAATGATCAATACAAATTTGGTTCTTGTGATCCTGATTGAAACACCAAACATTATATAAAATTATCTTGAATTCCCAATGAATTAAAATTAAAATCAATAATAGGTTTCAATTAATATTAGTCATAAATAATCTTTAACATAATCGAGTTTTAAATGGTTCAAAATTACATTTTGCTTTGCAAGCTTTATTTGTTAATTGTATAGCATCAAATTATTAATAAATGGTATTATTACCTAGCAGCAGCAGCGGGAAATGTTCCTGTCCATCCAACGTGTCTGTAATGATCGATAACTTTGCCCAGTTTTTTCTCCTTTGTAACTGCCCAGTCGTGATTTGGATTCAAATTTTGTCTATGATAGATAAGGAATAATTAATTTTTAGAATTAAATAGTATTTTATTTTGCTAAACATAGATAAATTTGCTTCCTAGGTACCTATAATATCGCATTAATGATCTTTTTCCAATTCTGGCACCAGAAGGAAGAACCAGTTGTGAGTTGACATCTTCGACACACTGGTAATTATCTTCAGTTGTGTTAGTCGGATAACTAGAAGAATAATCGTAAAAATCTGAATACTCGAGAAGTGCTTCACCTTCGTGAATCATTTTAGTATGTCCTAAAATCATTTCAAAATAAATGTTATAATTACAGTAAAATTACTAATTTTCTTAAGTTAGGTCAAATACAGATGAATAAAATACCTTTGTCAATCATGTGCGCTTGAGCAGATTCCATTGAATGAAAGCTTTTTCCTGTATCATTACACCATATACACATAAAACCTTGACATATCTTTTCTCCTAAATACACCAACAATCCTTTCAAGTCGACTAAATATTCAATATCCGGTATGAAAAATGAATGATTATCAGACATATGCTTAATGTTTTCTAATAAATTTTCACTGCTTTGAGGACAAAACAAACAAATATTGTTTATTATAGCGTTGTTTTCACTAACCACTCCATTCCATTCTTCATCTTCTTCGTCTTCCACATCTTCGTAATCATCATCACTATCATCCATATCTTTAATAGGTTTGTTTCCAACAAATTTAATTATTTTTTTAGCTGCTGGGACACCAATATCCTTATGTTGGACATCCGATTGCGCAGCTAGACTTTTATGTTGTTTAGAAGTTGTGTGACTATCAAACGACTTTTGTGAAGAATACGATTTTCTGCAAATGGTACAATAAATCGAGCTCTTTGTGTTTTCTGCATCCTGTTTAACCTGCTGACTGAGTATTCGTGATTCAAATGTAGGCTGGTCGACAGGAGGCAGATTAATGATTTTTCTTTTGAGATTATAACGATGCCAGTCCGTCTTATAATGTATACGATGTGTTTCTCCAGTCTCAAAAACAATCTGGCAAGAAACGCATGTCAAAGCACCTTGATACAGAGTACTCATTTTTCTAAAACATATATTATTTTGATTAATTAATTTACATTGTATACATAACTAAAGTGTGGAGACTGAAGCACTAAAAAACATTAACCTATATACCCATAAAACATTAAAAAATATAGCTTTAAAAATCAAAATATATACTAAATATAAATGATAAAAATATAATAATAATATATAAATAATTTAAATATATATTATTAGCCAATAGATGTATATATTAAAAATAAAAATGAATATACTTTTCTGAATTCTTTTATTGTTGATATAATATCCTTACATTAAATATGGTCTAATATACTAAAAATATGCTTTTAAAATAAAATAGTTTGAAACATGCATATTGTGTAAAACACACAAATTTTATTCAAGGATCGTAAAAATTACAAAATAAATTTCAATAGTATTAGCTGAGTAATAATATCAATTAAAGCAGAGACCCTGGGTACTGGGTAATTTTGTGATAGTCAAGATTCAATTATTGAGGAAAATAGAGTACCCTAATATTCATTAGGTAATCAATAAAACTAAATTAAATAACTTTCACTTAGTACATAATATATTGTATTGTTTTAATTTTCACAAATTTTTTATTTTGTTAAATTTGACAGCAGAATACTGGGTATTATAGCACAGGAAAACAATATATTATTACGCCGGGTACTGAGAATTGGTAGGGTATTGAATATGATATCTGGTACATAGTTATTAATTGTTGACTAGGTACTCAGTACATTTCTAAAATGATACTTAAGATAGTTAAGAGGCCCCAATCACCTGACTAATTTTTCCATTGTTTAACACGCTGAATACCTTACATAGTCTTACACATGACATGTCATTTTGGGCACAACAATTTTTCCTCAAATTTATCTATAAAACTTGGTCAATGTACAGGGCATATGCTTTGTATTGAGTAACTTAAAAGCAATTTCAGTGTACTTGAAGTTTGTGTAGTGAAAATAATACTTATGTACCAACTTCATTTGTTTGTATTCAGGAAATTCGTAAGATACATTGCGCCCTAAGGTGAAAACAGAATTGCAGTCTTAAGTCGATTATTAATTTAACTTAGCCGCTTAAATTTTTTTAAAATTGTATGCTTCCCTAAAGCAACTCGTGGCTTGCTTGTAGCCTAGCGACAGGCCTGTCTTCTGTATATATACTTCTAAAAACGTATTGTTAACTAGATAAAAATTAGGGGCACATACACGATCATTCAAGATTGTCAGTGGCCCTTGTATCAAATTTGTGTCAATCATATTTGCATGATTGATGAATGTTAACACGTTTGATTTTTGTACAAGACTGATCAATTTGACCGACGAATTAACAAAAACATGAATGATCATGTACGAGTCCCTCGTGATAAAATATCTGTTATAACAATGCGGTGAAAATAATTTCTTTTAATTTAGTTAGCTATAGTTAAAATCGAAAATGACTTACCTTCCTTTAGAAAAATACTTGTTTCAAATATTTAATTCGCAGTTATTTAATTTTCTACAGTTCGCATGTCATAGACTCGGTGATTAATAAATAACGAGGAACGATTATCGGATTATCATCTGAATTATCAGTTTATCATATCCAGTCGGTTAGTAGATATCTCCAATTTTTATCTAATTGACACGTCTAATGTCTCAATGGGAGCGTGTAAAAAGCCGATAAATATTTTTTCTCAACATTGAACAGTATTTAAGACGAAAAGTATTTTAGCCGAACAGTATTTATCTGAAAATATTAGTTGATTGTAATTATGGTTATGCTCAATTGCCGTATCGTTTAATACGGTAGTTTGCGACCCAAAAGTTCTTATCAAATTTAACGTGAAATTTCTCTTCGATTTCTGGATCTAGAGCTTCCGGTGAGATCTATTTATTAATTAATTGATTATCGTCGCAACCATAATAATAATAAACCATAGGTATAGTATTGTCCAAAATTGTTGTGGTTATTTTAACTAGACCGCTTCACGAGACAGGGGAGATTTTCATACTTTGGGACCGCTTTTTGACGACTCGTGTAACCATTCTATCTGTAACCGTGATTGTAATTAAACCGAACGAATAATGTGTAATAACGTTTCGGTGATTGTCACGGACTAAAATACGAAGGACTGGAAACGAATAGGTAGGCGGAATGCGAGGTTTGGGCCAAATGTGCAACGTTTCACGGTACAAAAACGCCTATTGTGACATGTATTTTTGCCCATCTCTACCATAAGTTACATATTGTGCAAATATCTTCTACCCTTGCGCAATTTGTAGGCTTTTTACATCTAGTTCTTTTATTTTTTTTTTTTTTCAAAATGCCTAAGTGATATAACTTTAAAAAGTACATTAATCAAAGATTCAAAAGAAAATGACAATTTAACAACAGTTTGAAACCATCTTATACCTTTTTATTATATTTTGTTCAATTTGAATTTTAATGTGTACTATTTTTTAAACTACATTACAGCTGGTATTTATACGGATGATATATTATGTAATGAATTATGTCTCGTATATCTTATGCTGTGAGTTTAATTGTCTAATTTCTATACTTTTATTTTTCAATGTTAACCAATAAAAAAGTTTACATAGTGTTATTATTGTTTCTATTAATTCTATATAAAATATACAGTTTATGCAGAAATGTTCTTATTTTTAGTTTTAAAGAGATTTTACTGTACCAATTTATAATAATACATAATGCTTAAATGGTAGTAGATTAGAATAGGTATATAGTAAAAATTAATCTTCCTATATTATTATTCCATTATTTCCCAAAAACCCATTTTACAGGATAATCTACTAGCAACAGACACACGTGGATACATAATAATTTATTTTGTTGTATGTTTACAACAAATTTCGTAAAATAATTAAACTTTTTCAGTTGATTACAACTGCTATTTATTCTGTCTTGAAATGCCATTATACTGGAAGCCAGACATGTGAACTAATGAATAGTCTAGTTCCACTATGGTACCAATTATACTTTTGTTCCTACCTAAAGTAATACAGATACTGAATCACAATAGTATAATTTTAATTTTTTTTTTTTTCTAGTTCTATTGATTTTATTGATATACCACTATGTAGAAGTACATCTGTGTCAAACACCAGTTCAGGTAATTATTGTGACAATAACTCTGAGATTTTACTGGTTGTAGTAGGACTAGTTATTTAACAGGAAAGATTTATTTGTAACAATTTTAATTAATATAATATAAATACCCATTTAAATTATGTATATAGATAATGTATATTAAAAGAAAATATATATGACAGTAAATTATTTTTTTTATATAACTGGACATTTTAATTGAAACAGTGGCATTGTGAATTAATACAGTAAAACCATTGATAATCGTATTTAAATATATACTTCTACATAAACCTTACTATATATGTTTTTAAATTCATTTATCCTTACAAATAAAATACATTTTTTTTTTAAAAAAAAAAGGCACATTTATAGTTACTAGAATTCTTAAAGTATTGTAAATTAAAAATAGAAAATAACTATGAAATGTAAAAAAATTCAATATTAGGTTTCACTATGTGTATTTGATTATAATATAAATTATGTTATCTTTCTAATTTATTTAAATAATAATAATGACGTCTAAATATGTTGAATGTTTATTAATATTTCAGATGGCATCAATATCAACATCATCTTCATTATCATCTTCAATTACGGGTTTGGTGACAGGTGGTTTAGGTTGTGCTTTTAATGCGCTAGTGTAATTAATACGATCATTATACTCGATCTGAAAAAAAAAATTGAATTAATTAGTAAATATATCTTTTTTTATGAAGATAATTCCACTAGAAAATAGTGTAACTTTGAGTGAAAATAAAAACAATTCTCAAATATAAAATAAAATATAAGAAGTTATATATATTAAATAAGAAAAATAAAGTAATATACAACTTATGTTATTAACGAAACATATTAAATGATGAAAACAATTGTTTTATAAGGCATCCCTTAGTGATGTACATATTTGCTTTTATTTTTACCTCAACATCATCATCACTGTCTTCTCCACTTTCTTCTTCCTCTTCAGCTTCACGTAACCAGGTTATGAACTGATTAGCATGGTTGTGTATTTCCTGGCTTAATTCTTTAGACACATACTTCTTACTAATCTTACTAGCCCAATCCAATAAAATAGATTCTTCCAAAATATCGGCATCATAGAATAACTAGGCTCAACATTAATAAACATAAATAAAAAAAATATTCACACCAGATTTAACATAAAACATACCTTTAATATTGCAGCGACTTTTGGCAGTAAACTGTTCTTGTGGAGTCCAATTACTTGTTCAATACCACCTAACAAATATCGTTGAGCTTTTTGATCCTCATGACAAAAGCGTAAGAACAAGACACGATGTTTCTTCAACTAAATATATTTAAAATCAATAAGAATATAAATAATAATAAAAAAGAAAATATTTACCTGCAAATGAATTTTTTCATCGAATAATAATTCAGCCAACACCAATGTAGCTTTACTCTTTACTTCTAAACGTTCAGCTTCAGCTAAAAGTTCTCTAGCTATAATTGATCCAGAATCTCGTGCCTTTTGAACCTATACAAAATTATATTGATTAATAAATCACACATTTATAAGATAATTATAAAACAGCATTAATAATGGGAAGATTTTTGTCAAATTTGAATATAAAACTATTATAAAGTTATAACATAACATACTTTGTTGTAAAATATATCCATTCGTTCTTTTTCAGTCTTATCTGTATCTTCATCAATTGTTAACCCTTTAGCACCATCAGTCAAATCTTGCATACGAGCTCTTACTGCTTCTTCAGAGACATCAACAGCCCATTTATCATCACCATCCTGAGTTTTAAACAAAATGTAATAAATTATTGTATTATAGAGAAATTAAAACCTTACATTGTCCTCAGCTAATTTTTCAGGAGCTTGAACAATTAATTCTGAATTTCCTTCTTCTGGAGAACTTGATCTACCACCTTCGCCATTTTCACCCCCATGTTTCTTAGACCGTTTATTTCGTTTTCCTTCGGTTAATGATGATCCTTGAGCAGCTGGATTTAAATCTGAAATGAAAAGAAATGTAAATATGTATCAACAAATATAATAATAAACTTAATAAAAAAAAAAAGTAGCAACAGAGATAGAAAATATAGAAATTAGAAAAAGATAAAATAATAATAGTAAGTGAATAATATACACTTAAAATTTAGAGAAGGAAACCTAACAGTACAATAAGAAAATAAATTTGACTGCAAGAAATGGAAAAAATGTTTGAAATGCATAACCTAACCTTAACATTTTTTTTAAGCAAACTAAATTTAAGTATAGAGCAAAATTAATGAAAGAGAATTTTTTTTATCCATTTCTATACTAAATAAACTAAAAATATTATCAATGTGGATTTATGGAGTGTAAATCAACCATAAATGAAGTTCTCATAATCAAGCTGTTAGTTGAAAAAAAACACTATTAATTCAATTGGGGACTAAAAATTATACTGCCATACAAATCGGTAAATAGAAAAATATTAAGATTGATTAATTAGGTATCAATAGAATAATGTGAAAAAATTAATTTAACCAGCACATGCTAATTGAGTTTAAGGTTGAAATTACTCTAATGGAACCACAGGCAGAAAAAAATTGCCCGTCATTGATATTTATCAATGTATCACTAAAATAACCATTAGAGAAACACAGAATAACTAGAGGATTTAACATTGTAAGCAAGTGTGGAATACTAGCATATTATGCAAAAGACATCATCATTTTAAGACCAGAGTAAAAATTAGGTAAATATTGGACTATAAATAAATGAACCAAAGATCAATTATATGGTGATTTTTAGATTATAGGATATTCGTAGAGAATACCTCGAGGCAAGAATTTATAAGTTCATTTGGGTTTTAAGATAAATGATACAAATAACAACCATGATGAAATCGATTAAAAACAAGCAGTAAATAAGTACTATTATGGTCTAACAGTTAACTTCAAATCATAACAATTATCACTTAAATAAAAAACCATATTATACAATGTAGTTTTTAGACCAGTTCTCTTGTATAGGCACAATATATGGCTGACAGCCAAAAGGGATTAAGACAAAATAGCAGTAATTTAAAAAAGACAAATAATACAATAGGGCCAAAACAAAATGATATCATTCAATAAATAATACAATATAAGGACAAATACAAAATTACAACAGTTATACAAGGAACTACTTATAAGAACAGTTCTGAGACACGGAAGAATTATATTGACCTAGTCACATATGTATATCAGAAGAAATAATGGCAGGTTCTGAAATGGTAACTTTAAACAAAAGCACAGAGACTAAGTCAGCAAGAATTCAAGACTCAGGTTAGAGGGTGGAAACAGATATATGTTGCGACAATGAGCCTTAATGGCCTTTAAAAACTGAATATGAATAAATAAATAAATAAAATTGAAAATTCACAATTATAATAAATAAATAAATAAAACATAACACACTTGGTGGATTCTTCAATATGTAAGCGTTCAGTTTATGATTAGATTCCAAAGAGCAATAATTTCCACAAGCTTTACAACCTTGATGTATCGTTCCTTTTTTAGTACTAATCATTAATTCGGTTTCTGGATTATCACATTCCGGACACAAAACATATTTTCTAATAAAACCGTCTAAAAGATCCTAAAACAGAATTGTTATTAATATTAAATAATTATGCGCATAGTTAAAATATAATAAAGTAAATTTCAATATTTGCATACTTGAAGTTTACTAGCATCATGAGCTCCATTTACAATAAACCTATCATGTTTAAAATCAAATTGAGTTTGAGCGCCCAATTCACAGCCAAAGAACTTAGTTGGATCTAATAAAAATAAACAATAAATAAGTTAGATTAATATATTTCCATTATATAGGATATAAATGTTTATCAATCAATTACATGTAGCCGGTCTTCCTATTGCTTTGGCCACTTCAGCCATGTTGACAATGACTGTTTTTATGCCATTACCTTTGCCCTCGACTTTGGCCATAAGTCTAGGCATTTTATACCGATAGAATGCATCACTCACATTACGATTTACGTTTACGCTCATGGTTGCGGCTAATTTATTCCAATATTAAGTATAACCCGTCACGTTTCCCGGAATGGTTGTGATTTTCTGTGATGGTTGCTGCAATATTTTGATGTCCTGTTCCAACAAATTTCTAAATATAAAAATATGACATTTCAGAAAAAAAAATGGTACAGAGTGTTTTTAACATTTGATTAAATTTGATATTTACCGAAAACTAAAACCCTGGTATTTTATAGAACTCATGCACCTTGTAAAAGGGCCAATATATGGCTCTATACGCTTTTTACAACTGCCAGATCTTGCTCTGGATAATGATAGCGATACTGAAAAATAATAATAATAATTGTATCATAGGAAATTTACACATGGGAAGAAAAATGTCAATAATATTATTGATACCTACAATAATATTTGTGTTTATATTACAAAATATTAATCAGGTAACAAGTTTTATATTTTATTTTTACTAAGTAAATAAATCGAAAATGTATACAATGAGTAGGTTCTATAAGTGGCAAAAATAATAAACAACGATCAATCCAATGATTAGGAAGGTTACCCAGTGGCAAATTAAATCCTCATAGTAAAAGTATAATTTTATTTCTAAATAAGTTCATACAATTTTGAAACGGAAAAATTAGTCTCAAAAATTAAATAAATTAATAAGAGTATTTTCTTCTGGTAATCTGGTTGTTCGACAATTGTTTTAAATATGTCCAAAAATATAACTTCGTGTTTAAAAATAGATTTACAAAACCCGAATCATAGACAAAACAACAAACACAGAGCAATAAGGTGATAAAAATTACTTTCAAAATACAAGGTACACGTGCACATATTGTCTATTCCTAGAAGCAACCCCTCTCAAAACTCACCTATACGGGATAGCACCACCATATGTTCCCGAGAGGTTTTCGGTAGTAACAATAATCTCGAGTCGAAATTTGCTATCTGTTTCAGATGTCTGAGATCTGACGGCGGGTTTCGGTAACGTTCAATGTTGGCGCGTTGAAATAAAAAGGCGTGTGCGTTAAATATGGCGGCGGTGGTTTTAACCGCCGGCCGAGATAGCCGATAGAGTAGAGAACAAATGAAAAACAGGAGAGATGAACACCAGACGGCTAGCTGCTGACGACTGGCGATCGCACAGACCGAGACACCAACGGTGCGTATGGTATACCGCACAAAAATCAATATACCTACTCTGGCGGTCTGGAGGAGGCTCGCCGTCGTAGGGAGCCCAATGACAGTAGTGAATCGCCGTATTCGTGAGCATGCCCGAACCGTGGTCGCGGTCAATAAACTATTATATCTATATACCGAAGGGGAAACCACCCTTTACTAAACATATATTGTACAATACTATACGAGCCTTTTACAACCGCTTTGCTCGCGTTTTACAAATATTTATATCGCGGCGTTTTTTTAGTTTTCAAATTTAGTGTCGAATGTTATACCAAATTCGTTTTAGCGAAGGACTGTTACGAATTAAAACGAAAAGCCTACCTACGAGGAGATAGAGCCAAGGTCCGGTGAGCACTTCCGAGTCGGAGACGCGTCTTGTTTCGTTCGTATTAGTCTACCCAACCTAATGTCGTAAATAGATTTCCTATCCCATAAAATGAAAATAATATACATCAGCTCTGTACAAATTTCGTGTATGAATTATCCGTCTGAAGAAAAACGTGTGAAAATTTAAAAAAAAAAATAATAATTTAACATGTATAAAACTCGTAACTAATGTTACAATAAAATTCTAAGTGACATTTTTACAGAAAATAACATATTTCTTATGTAGTAAATCTAACTGGTTTTTCAACTGTCAAATATCAATAATACTTCTAACACTACAAGCAGCAATATTATTGACGTTTCTAAAATTAATTCATAAAATAAGTCCACAGTGAATATGAATAAATTGAAAACGTAAATAATTTTGTGATTAGAAAAACACGGAAACACATGTATGTATATTGCAAATTCACTAGATCATAGAAATTATTTTAAAAAATGACGTATCAACACAATTTATAGCTTTATGACATAATACCTACCTCACATAATAGGTAATCAAATTCAGCTATTAATATAACATAAAAGTGAAGGGGATTCACTAAAACTGTTATAAACTATGCTCTATGGAGACCATTGATGATAAAGGTCATAGCTTATATTATACTAAAATTGAAAAATGTATTCAAGTTTTCAGAAAGAATTTCCATATAACAATGATTATTCAAAAAGAATTATAATGCTAGGTCCAAAATAAAATTTATTTTAATTAATTGATCAAAAAAATTATTACCTGTATAATCTATATTTTGAACATTTTCCCATGCCCATTACATAATAAGCCAATTACAATCAAAAATATATTACGATAAAATTACATTATAAATGTTTATTAAATCATTTTAGGTAAATGTAAAAATGATTCTTATTATATGAGGTGTATGACCTTAATAATTATGAGAGATAAAAATTGTTGTTTTTATTTATCTTTCAACAATTATTACTGATAGATATTTTAATTTAAGCACGTTCATAATAAAGTGAAGTGAAGTATAGAAATTGAAGTTTGACGGATTAAGATATTAATATTTTAAATCAATTCAGGTATAACATATTTAACTATTAAACAAATCAAGAACAAAATACTGGTTTGTGTTTACAGCATAAGATGATAGTGTTACTTTTATTATTATTGATATAAATTAACACAATGCAGGTTAATGTATAACAAAGTACAATATAGTAGGCAATTTTACTGATTAATAATAATGATATTCTTATATAATCATTAGTTCAACATCTATTTGCATAGATATTAATTCAGAGCAAGTAGATAAGTTGTTATTATAATAGAAATCTAGTTTTTGCTATTTATTATACAGAAAATGTATAATATTTTATTATATTTGATTTACATATGTAGGAAGTTTATTATAATTTCCAAAACGATTGTACTTTTATCATAATACTTAATATACCACATACATTATAACTTAAGTTCCTAATTTTCTTAGTTGTAATTTTGTGTATAAATTAAATCATTGACTAATAGGTAATATAATTTTGTATTGTCCAAGGCAATATTCACCAAGTAAATTTAGCCTACATCAAAAACTTACAGATTTATATATAATTCGAGATGGCTATGATTTTTCCATGATATTCATGCATTCAAAGCTGCTTTTAATGATAGCGATTATACGTTTATTTTTGTCCAGTGAATTTCACTATTTTTTTTGTATGATCATATAATATTTTTAAGTTAATTTGTTGAAATTGATCTTTTATCTTTCTCTTCTGGTTCATTGGATGTATAACATATTTTCTATTAGTTGGTTTTTTGTTTCCTCTCCTTCCAATTCGTTAATAATGGTTACTAGTTCAGTCATAATAAATTCAGCAGATATCATGTAACTAATGTTTTTATATTGACGGACACAATGAAAATTACTGAACAATGAATACCATACGTATGTATGAGTCCTAGGGCACTAAGATAGCCAATGTGAATGGTTTCAAATCTCCCTCTCCATGATGGATATATAAGCCCAGTCTAATAGCCAATAGTTGATACCATTATGATATGTTAGTTAAATACTAGTGAGAAATTGAAATATCTTAATAAATGTACTATGTTATTTTACTTAAGGGCTTACCTTGAACAGAAATGTACTAATATAAAACAAAAAAAGGCCACAAATGTTTTTTTTTTTTTTTTAATACACACATAATATACACAAAATCAACAATGATATTACTTATTGTAGGTAAATATGGTTGACTTTTACAATATGTTATAAAGTTAAGCAAAGAGATCCATCTAAACATATAAAGATGTTTTATATGTTCCTACTACAAACATCTACTATTTAAAAATGAAAAATAGATGAAATTCACAACACCAAAATTGAAGAGTAAATGGAATTCATAACACCAAGATACACATTTAAAAACCTATTATAAATTGAGGAACCAAAGTGTTGTATTATAATAGGAATAAGAGAAGATAGTTTGAATGTTTTAACTGCAATAGATATTTTTTAATGATTGACTATATAAGAAACTATGACAATAGTAAAATATTGTATAAATAAAAAAAAAAACTGATATTAAGTTTGAAGAAGATAAGCTATACAACTTGCATAAGCCAGAATCTCAAAATCATCTTTCATTTTTAAGTTGGTAGCCAACTATCCCCAAAATATAAAAAAAATTAGAATAGCAAATTGCATCCAGTATTTTTAACTAGTTAATGAAAATAAAAAAACAAACACAAATAGACACATAGTATATACATATTAATAATAAAAATAAATTTGACATGTACCTAAATAATAGGGCAAATACTTACATACAATCTAAAATTCTAAAATTGTTGAGTAAATAAAAATAATAAATCGGTATACCTACAAACAAATTACATATTTATTTGATATTTGTAAAGTATTATAGACAATTATATATAAGTACCCAATATTATATTACCAATTAATTTAATTAGAAAAATAGTATTTTCTACTACTAATATTATTAAATAAAAATAGTAATATACACCTATTGTACTATATTAAGAACATATTTTTTTGCCTGACATTTTACATCAACCTGCATGTTGTTTTATATATGTACTCATGTAATTACATGAAACCAGACAATTATTTAAAACCAAAACATTTATTTAAAATGGAGAACTCAATTTGTATACAAGCCTATTTAGTTATCTAATCAGTAACATATAACCTATAACCTAACCACTTAACTACTGTGTTAATACTTAAAACCTTACACGCAATCTATAAATTAAGAATTATCGCAACACTCAATACTACACCCAAATATAACCAGACCTGGATAATTAAAAAGTAATTTGTATAATTATAAATTAAGCTATTAACTGAATTATCACATAATGTGTTCACAATTGAATATTAAACCATGGTGTTTTTGAAAATTGAAACGCACCTTTTTCTATTGGACAAATTCTTAGATAAGTAAATACCTAAATGAGTAAATGTTTCTCAATTAAATTTAAGTACAAAAATAATAAGCGACTATAGCATATTGTATGTATACCTACCATTTATTTACTAATTATTTTCATAAATAAAAATGATTCCTAAACAATTTAGTATGATTAAACAAGAGTGATTATGATGATAGAAATAAAAAAACTGTATTCAAAAACGGCTAAAAGCACCGACAACAAATAATGCGAACAAATCTACTTTAGCACCTACATGAAATTTCGAATTATTTTTCGGAATGCAGAAAATATATGCTAATATTGTATTTTCGAAATTGCAAAACAATGTCAGGTAGGTAACAGGAAAATGTGAAAAAGTATTTTAGATGGAAAAAGAGGTCCAATGTGGTCACTCGGACAATTTTAATCGAAAATAACCATAAATTTGATATGCAAAACCACGTCAGGTAGGTTAACCTAACAAAAATCATGAACTTCGTAAAGCGGTAACTTTTAAACTAATGATTTTTGCAAAAAAACTTTTGGTATTTTAAAACGTTTAAGTACACTTTTCCGAAAAAAAAAATCCGAAATTTCTAGGGGGTGCTTATCTAGATTCATACCGAAGTGTGTATAGGTATAATTTTATATCAGTTTCTAATAAAAATGTAAAAAATTAAAAATTACTCAGAAAGAGAGAAAATAGGTTGGTATTATGTCATTGATTACACTTTTTATAAAGATTAAAACTTTCAAATTGACGCATTCAACTAACAGGGACTAAAGTTAATCCAATTTAAATCAATTTAAATCTACTGAAAGTGTACGGATGGAAAATAACATTTCAATCGGAACACACACAAAAAAATAAATATGTAGATAGGAAAGCAAATTTTGAGCTGTGATTACTGGTAAAAAAACACGTGAAACATATGGCGTGAGCTTGGCGATTTGACCCCTATTGACGTATTTATAGAACACGTTGGCCACACGAGACGACTTCAAGGTTATTCTCGGCATCGCGGAATGCCGCTTCGTCGTCCGTGACACGTAGTGCAAAACCAACGGACATAGGTTTTCGATGAATAATAATCAATAAGTAAGGTAATAATATTTATTAAAGGTACGCGGAGCGTCTCCTTACCAGTGTCGAGAAACTTCATATAAATGGTGTCACCCTTCTGGGACGCGGAAATTATGATGAAATGATTAGCGAACGACGCTCGCTGCTTCCGTAGACTTGGCCAAAGCTACAAAAATAACAAAAAACACATAGGTATATTAATATTTATAGTTAACAAATAAGTAGGTAATAAATTGTGTTGTGGTAAGTGATAGATTAGTAAAATTTGATATTATCGTTGACAATAACGAGAACAGTCAACACTCACAACAGAGTCTTTGACAAGTCTCGAGGAACCGAGAAGAGATCTGGTCACAGGGGAAACCGTTTCGACGACGGTGCTGTAATGGCCGGCGCGGCGGAACGGCGCAATGTTGCAAACTTTCGAACGAATACAAATCGGAAAGTTAACACTCACGACAAGTCGGTGTCGTCGACTGAGACTGAGTAAAAGATTGTCGGAAAATCGCGAGACGATTGTATGATAATAGCGAAAAATCATAAAACAATAAAATAAAAATACCGTATACGTGCATACGTGATACGTAATGCCAATGCGCAACGGCGCTCCGCGTAGACGTGGTTCGACCGGTGTGGTGTTGAAACGGGAGTGGCGAAGTCGTCGGTAAGGGGGAAAATGGTGTAATAATTTATCGATCGTTAAAATAGTTCTATGGTTGAGAATGATTCGCGACTATAAAAATAACAAAACTTTGCGAACTCCTATAAAATATTCACGAGTCGGTTCGACGTGGAAGTATGGAACGCGGGTGTCAGGGAGATGTAGTAGAAAACTAGAATATGGTTACGTATTCGCGAATGGTGTGACCATGATGACGGTCGGAACTGAAAGCAATAAAGCACTGTCAACCTCAGTTGATGCGATTGTTGGTTGGTCGCACTGTACTGGCTTAACCCTATCCCCGATATCACCAGTCACCGTGTTAAAACTATAGATAACGCGATCACAGTTGCGGCGTAACCCGGTTTGGTAATTTATGATCGCGATCCCACTGATTGCAGTCGTCACATAACGTCACTGTTTGCGCACTCGCACTGTATATTTGTACACTTCGCGATCTGTGTGTATTTCACGTACGCGCATTGATATTATATACGTTTTTTCCGTATCCACGTCCGTGTGGTAACCAATAGAAGTTAATTATCAGTCTACCGGACGCGATTGTATCGTATCCGTGCATAACTTAAATTGTCTTTTATCCGGCGAGTACCGTTTTTCGGTAGGCGCATTGTTTTCTGTTGTACGTTTCCGGTCGCAAGCACCATTAACCGTTGATGGTATCCCGTTCAAGAACGAATATATTTATACTTTTATTATGACCGAGGTGGTCAGAGGTGATGAGGCTGGACCACCGGCGGATAACGAGGTAAAACATTTTATTATATTATTATTCCGTATTCCGTACTTTGGTAGGTATTGTTTACGATTTACTCTCTATTCGCTTAAGCCTGGTAATCATCTCCCCTTCCTCACATTTAGAGTTTGTTTAATTTGCTACCACGTTCTTTTTGGTGGCCAACGCCTTGATCTTGTACGGTCTTGTGCATTTTCCCATGAATGATCTCCCACGACTTATTCGTTTTAAAATTTATCTATTATCTTAGTTTTATGGACCACTTAATAATTCTTTAATATAGTATAATTGCGTAATGCAATTGATTATACATGATATTATCTTGGTACCTATATAATATTAATTTTTAATACCTGTGAGTAATTCTTATAAAAGTGATCAGTAATCACACACCAATTATAGAACAAATTTAACATTCCTGTACCTAATCCTCTATAAATATAAAAGAAGCTCAACAATATGTAAATTCCCTCTTACTAAAATAAAACTGGGATTCATATCTCAACATCAAATTTTCTGTTTGGATTATATTCTAATTTGTAGGTTCTTTATGCTTTTATAATAAATAGGTAAGTAAATATTAGTAGGTATCTTGGTACTAAGATTAAAAAAAAGTGCTTACGTTTATTTATAATGGATATTTGTTAAGACTTAATAACTCTGCTACAGACTCAGATATCTGCTATAAACATTATATAATATTATCTTAGCCTGTGGACTGTAACACTGTTTATTGGTTACATATGAATATTTATCTAGCTTGTAATTTGAGTTATTATAACTAGATTACTTTATACCTTGAGAAAAATAATCAACTAAATAAATTAGTGACAAATTCTAAAAACAATTTGCTAACATTGTAACTACCTCATAATTTTAATTTAATTAAAAGTTACTTAGCGTGATTGTTTTATACATTATTCATATTTTATTAATACCTAATCAATTAATATTTATTTAGGTAGGTACTTAATCTAGTTATAAATTTATTTTATTTTAAAATAAAATAACTTATCTGACCATCTAAAATATTAGATACCTAAATAATAAATTGGTATCATATTTAAAAAAAAAAAAAAAAAACTGGTTGAATAGTTTTTTAATAATAGTAATAGGTTATTATAATATATTTAAATTTAAAAATTTGGTTTTGGGGTGTCGACCTATATTCAAAATATCAAGTATCTAAGTGCCATACAGGTGTACCCCACAGGCAAGCAAATATTCTTTATTTTACCTTATTACCTACTTATTTAAAAACTAAAGAATAATAAAATATATTTAATATACCTACAGCTATTTAATTTTTTTAAATTTTTTTTTTTTTTTTTTAAGGGCGGTGATGTGGAACCACAGGGTGAACAACCACCACCTCAGCAAGGGCGGTTTAATATGATTTTTGGAGTAGTGAAGACATTAATTGTTCGATCTTTAATAATCTATTTTATTACATCGATGTTTAAAAAACCAACTACCAATGTACTTCCTGATGGCAGTGTCACTCCTACTGTCGATTCAGTGCCACATATCAATCTCTTTGAATATGGTACTAATTTTGTAAGGATCTGATGATTTTTATTTGATTAACATTATTTGGTATTAGTGGGACTATATTAAATTTTATTTGTTTTTCCATCCTATTTAGGGCATGTATGTTTATCTATCAGAAAACAGTTATTATTCAGAAATAGATGAAAAGGAACTCATTTGGAAAAAAACTGATTTAGTGTATGGAGATTGGAATTCAGGTCCCAATTATGATGGTACTTATTCTGTGCAAACATCATTTATTCCATCAAAGGTACTAAACAGAGTATTCAATTAGCTTATTATAGTTAGGTTAATTTAATATGCATTTTGTTTTTCAGAACTTACAAAACAATGGATCGATTTATTTACATGTCTTTTTCATTAAAAATAAAAATCAAAATATGAGTAAACATGATCCTTATGTCGTTTACGCATCAAAACAATTAAATAAGTTTAAAAAAGTAAAATTTATGAAAACTCATAACTTACTTACTGGTGAGACATCAGCAACTCCAGAACAAATCGCAGTAAGAAGAATAATTGTTTAACATTTTTATATTAATGATTTAATTTTGTAAGAAGTTGTAGTCTAAATTAATATATTTTAAATTAACTACTGTTGTCAATGTAATAATTAATAATTATTAATTGATTTTATTTTATATTTGTCTACATAACAGAAAGCTGAAAAAGTAGAGACTGAAATAGTATCACATTGGCATCCAAATCTTACAATTTGTTTAGTAACAGATCAAACAAATTGGACTAAAGGATCTCTTCCCCAACCATTCAGCGACTGTTAGTAAAAATATAATAAAGTACCTTAGTAAATAATAATATTTTGTTTCTTAATTTTATTAATTAAAATTATTTTGCAGATCTAGAATTTTTACCAGATCATCGCTATAAACCAATGGTATATTTTAATGATTTCTGGAATATGCTTAGAGATTATCAACCAATTAATGAAACTGTAAAGTAAGTACTAACAATGTAATTCTTAATATTTCAAAATTTAATATGTATACAATTATTATTTTACTTACAGGCAATTGGATTTAACATTAACATTCCAGCCATTATCATTGTTTAAATGGCAAATGTTTTCAGCTCAGACTATGCGAAATAAATGGACTGCTGGAATCTTAGGTGATTCCTTTGGTTCAGATGCTACTGAAGATGATCAAGATCAAGATTCATTGAAAGAAGCATTGTTAGAGACATCCCCTTATATTTTAGCCGCAACAATTATTGTATCAATATTGCATAGTGTTTTTGAGTTGTTGGCTTTCAAAAACGGTAATATATAATTATCTTTTTTAAATATATTGTACTTATCTTCTAAATAAACTTAACTTTGGAATAACTATTTCAAGATATTCAATTTTGGAAGGAGCGTAAGTCATTAGAAGGTTTATCTGTACGCGCAGTATTCTTCAATGTTTTCCAATCTGTAATTGTATTGTTGTATGTACTTGATAATGATACAAATACAATCATTCGTATTAGTTGTTTTGTGGGTTTGTGTATAGAATGTTGGAAAATCAACAAGGTAAAATATTCATAATATTTCAGTTTTTTATAGAAATAATTTATACATATTTTAAATATTTTAGGTAGTCGATATAAAGAGGGACCCAGAGACACCTTGGCATTACGGGTTTATTCCGAATATTTCGTTTAAGGAAAAAGTATCGTATGCCGAATCCAGTACTAAGGAGTATGATCGATTGGCATTCAAATATTTATCATGGGTTCTGTTTCCTCTTCTTGCCGCATACGCAATCTATTCACTAGTATACGAAGAACATAAAGGATGGTATTCTTGGGTGCTCAACATGTTATACGGTTTTCTATTAATGTTCGGTAAGCTTGTTATATATAAGAAAGTATTTCTTTATTCTACTAAACATTTTACTCTATGTATACAGGTTTTATAACAATGACTCCTCAATTATTCATTAATTACAAACTCAAATCTGTAGCTCATCTTCCTTGGCGAATGATGTCCTATAAATGTTTGAATACATTTATCGATGATATATTTGCATTTGTTATCAAAATGCCAACAATGTATCGTTTGGGTTGTTTTAGAGATGGCAAGTGAAATTTTAATTACATTATTATTGAAGCATTCCTCATGTTAAATTGTCATTTATTTTTTTTATTTTTAGATGTTGTATTTTTCATCTTTCTGTACCAAAGATGGATATACAGAGTAGATCCTACCAGAGTAAATGAATTTGGATATGCCGCTGAACCGATTGAAGAAGAGACGACACCACAAGCCATTGAAGAAAAGAAAACTGAAGATGACAAAAAGAATGATTAGTAAAATTTGTAACAGTCAGTTGCTTTATTTCGTTCCATTACAATTTTATTTTTATTAAACAAAAACTATATATATATATATATAATTTATATATATTCATAATGTTCTGCTCTAGCAATTTAATTATCGTAAAAGAAATGTGTTTGTGTACGGTTATATCAATAAGTGGTTGTTTTTTTTTGTTATTTTAGTTTTTGTTAAAGGGTACGGCACCTAATTTTTAAAAAATATTGAAGGTTAATGAAGGTAATATGAGTTAAGTGTATTATTTGTTTTTGTTTTATGTTGTTATATAAGGGGCTTGGAAGTTCATGTGTTAAATGTGTTTAATTTAATTTTCGGAAAAACTCTAAATCAATTGATTAGTAATAATAAAACCAAACAAAATAGTCTTTATAAGTATTTCATTTTTAATTCTGTTAATTTATTTTAGATGGATGTTTACTCCATTTTGTTTTAATATAAGTTTACTTTGTTTTAATTTATAAGTATTTTATAAAATATTTAAAACCTTTTGTTTTTTCTTAGTTAAATATTTTTTCATTTAACTATACAATAATATGGATTGTTAAAAACTTATTCCATTATCGATTCACTGAGAGAATATGATGGACAGAAAAAATTGCTTTCTTATCCATTACTTTTCATAATTATTCATGTTACAATTTGACAATAAGCTAAGAGCAAATAAATTTGATGTAATATGCTGTGTTGTGCATTCAAATTCTCTTTTTGACCGTAGGATCAAAGTTACTTTTACTGTTTTTTAATACTTTGAACGTCCATGCCCTGGTATGTAATTGCAATATTGTTAGTAAAATTTTGTTGTAAAATTATAGTTAATTCATCAAAGCTAAACTTGATGAGTATTGAAAAGATTGATTAACATTAGTCAGTTACATTATAATTATGTATTAGATATAGTTTCCAACATTTATAGAATAAACTGTCATGGACATTTTTATAATTACTCAGTTTACAGTATAATATTTGTATATTTACTATTCGTCTAAATTTTATTACTTGCGAGTAATATCAAATGATCGTCAGTATTTTTTAATTAATGATATTATTATTGTTAATTTACAAAAGAAAACAATGTATTTTATAAAACCGAATTGAAAATAAACAAACATTTTACAATCTTATAATATTCTGACTTAAATAGTTTTCAACTTTTTTAAAAACTACCTACCTATATAGTTTAATCAACTTGGTATAATTGTAGTAGCAGTATAAAAATATAATATATCAGGTCATCAAATTAAATTTTGACGTTATTTATTAATTATTTGTAACGTTAATTTACCAAAATAATATTCCATTGACTTACATTATTATTGCTTACAATTTTGAATTTGTTAATAAAACTTAATATTTATGAAAAATGCTTTGTATTATTTTTATATTTTATGAATATTAAAATTTTAATGAAGAAAAATTTATTAAATGATTTTAACATGTATAATAATATCCTAAATATTTAGTACTAAATAGTTATTAAACATTAAATAATATTATGTTATATTGTTACATGTCTTAATAATAACAATAATTGTGATATATTATTACTTAAATTACTTATATTATTCTCGATAGCTGTGTTACTTTACGTAAGTTATATATTATATGATTTGTGACTGCTTTAAATATAATTATTACAATAATATTGAAACTAAAATAATACCACTAAAAATGTATACATAAATATATATATATATATTTAAACTCAATGATTGTTATAAATTACAAAGGTACCTTATACTCAGTCTCAGAGGAGAAAGTACACGTTTTTTCGTCTGTTGCTGTACTACTTTTGCTTATGATTTTATGCGATTTTGCACGCCACTTAAAAGGTAAGGAGTGGGAGAAATTCCATCTCTGCTCTCACTGTTGCGCAGAGCGTATACCTTCTCCCATGAAACTGAGTATAGAAACGGATTTTCACTATAAGAATTTTTTATCTGTTGTACCTTAATGTTTATTTACAAATTATGAGCACGATACATTTTGCGTGTCATTAATCATTATTAGTAATATATTATGAAATAATTTGTAATAATTATTGATTGAAATTCAAGGAAAATGTATAAATATTTGTTCGTCTAATAGTATTTTGTTTAAGTTTTACAAAAGGAAAACACATTTAAACCCTATTAAATAATTGCTGTAGTGCCAAATTATCAACTTAGGGTAATGGAAATATAAAATTATATTGTTATTTAAATAATATTGAATCTAACCCTGTAACACATAATATACACAACGATTAAGAGAAAATATCAATTAGACTTTCATAAACAGAAGATTAGTGGAATAAATTGATTTATATATTTATCAGTAGTTAACCACTAAGTACAACTTAAAATGAACCTCCTGTTAAATTGTCAAGCATTTCTGTTCGATTTAACAATTTTATCCTCAGAGTAACTACCGAAGAAATATTATGTAAAACACTCGCAAAATTAAAATATATCTTAAAAATGGCTCAAATATTTTCAAACTTTACTTACCAGGTCTGTAAAAAGCAAATAATATACAATTTATATCAAAATTTCAAGTCTACAAATATTTTTCACTGAATTACAATAAATAAAAAAATTTGAAAATGAAAGATTCATTTTCATACATTTTTCCATTTTTTCTAAGTTTTTTCCCATTAATTATGAAAACACTTAGGAAAATTCCTTTTCAGAAAAGGTGCTATACTTGTTATTTTGGAGCAAAATTTACAGTTGAAAGTTTGAACATAGTATAAAAATATAAACATCATTGTAAAACCAATAAATTCCTCGCTAGAGTCAGAATCTAAAATATATATTTTCATATATAAATTTTTAAATTTTGTTTACTCACAATATAGGTGATCTTTAATCAACTGGGACCACCGGATACATATTCGTTTTACCAAGTTCATGAATAAATAATAAATAAACCGCAATGTAGTTAACTAAATCTCAAATTGGACTCGAAGAACGAGAGACTAGATATTTAAATTTTTAATCATAGGCTGTACTACACAGGTAGTTAATAGTGTTTCAAAGTTTTGTAACTAGTTTATTTAATTAAGAGTCACAATTTTCTTGTCTTGTAAAACAAATCTGTTTATCTTTTGAACCATTTCGTCTATTCTGAATTGACTTCAACATTTTAAAGTTTTTAAGTTCTATTTTCATTTTTCACAGCCTCGGCCACCACCTTAAATAGAATTCTAAATTAAAAATTCTATGATTATTGATTGGTGATTAGAGAATCGTGATTGTAAATATTTGAGGTTATATTTTTGTGATTATTAAATTATGATTATGTAGATATCAAAAATTGATCAAGACCATACATATCAAATATATCTTTAATATTTATGTTCAAGACCTGAGTTATTTTATTGTATTATCATGGCCTTGAAGATTAGAGATCCCTAATCTTTATGATCATGGCCGTCATTAATAATAAATAAACCGTTGCCTATGTTATGAACTCTAAATGCCTGATCCTGTGATGGTATTTCATCGTTTTCGTTAATTTTATTCCCTACTTCATTTATGATTTGCATTATAATCTAATTAAATTTTGTTTCTACTTTCTTCTACAAAATCAAAAAAAAATATAATTTCTTTCATAGTGGATGGAATATTAGAACAAAAACTTACTGCCTACTACGAATAGTCAAAATGTCCGCAAAGGTAAAATATTTTTTTTTTTATAATGTATAATACTTTTACAAATTAATATTTTGTTTATTTAATTGTACAGCTCGAATTTGCCGTACAAATGTCATCCTTATCGTGTACCAATAAAATACTTGAACAACTCAATAAAAACGGTATTTCAAAATCTGACATTCATATATCTTATGAAACTGGAACGGTTACTGTCTGCACAAACCAGCCGTCTTCTGTTATTTTAGATTCTATTGAGAAGACTGGTATAAAAGCGGTACTAAAAGGTTATGGAAGTGCTACACGTAAGAAAATATTATCCTATTATCCTATATTCTCTTTATAATATATTTAAAAAAAAAGGGAACAATTCTAGTTTAGCATATTAGCGATTTGTTCAAAATGTGTTCACATGTATATTGACTGTATAAAATACCAAATAAACTTTATTTGGAAGTTATGAAAGAAAACTAACAAAAATAATTTTTTTCGTTATGCACACTGTTTAGTGACAATTTAATATTTATTTTAAAAAATTTGTTTTTTAATGCTTTATTCATTGTGAATAAACAAAAATGACCTATTGTAATTACATTTTGAGATTTTTTTTACATTTACCTTAAAAATAGCATTTTTGGAATTTGTCCAAAATGTGGTCAACATTTTACATTAAAGCTTTTATCTTTTATTTATATGTAATTTTTGATTACAAGTTTATTTGTTGAAGTCAAAATAAATATATTTGAGTTAGTTGTAGAATTACACACGTTAGCTTTCTATACCTAATTAAAGGTGCACCTTATAAAAAAAAAAAAAAAACAATTCTAATTAAAAACATTTTATTTTAATATTACTCATCCTCCGTCTCCACAGATTTGTTGTACAGAATCACATTGCGTAGGTAATTGGGAGAAACCATTGCATTTTGGGTACACTTATACTTGCTACGTTTATTCAGACTGTTTTAATCAGAAATATCCTCTAATTTTTTGCGAACTGCTCCTGCAATCATTTAAACCATGCATTGTGTATTAGTCCATAAATACTATTTTTAAAGTGAAGTACAAAAGCTCTAAAAATACAATAATAAATAAGTTTTGATTATACTAATGAATTAAGTATTAAAAAACACACATTATGAAAAAAATGTTTTAAATATTAAACTCTAATAAAAAGAAGCGAAATGAAAAATCAAACTTTTTGATGTCTTCATCTATTACTTCAAAATGAAAATAGTCTGGTCTTTTTAAAAATATAAATGTATATTTTTATTTTTATTGAAGACGACAATATGAACTTGGGTGCTGCTGTTGCCATGCTGGGAGGATCAACTGGTCATAGTAGTTTAGGTATAAATGGCATTGTCCGGTTTGTTCAGATTAATGAAAATGAATGTATAGTTGATGGCACTATCGATGGATTACCTCCCGGAAAACATGGCATTCACATTTACGAATGTGGTGATTTATCAAACGGATGTAAAAAGTAGTGAATGATTAATATTTCATCATAGTTATTTTATAACTAACTGATTTTTTTTTTCAGTATTGGAGATCATTTTAGTTTGAAACAAACACCACATGGAAGGCCAACCGATGACGAAAACCTTAGGGTATAGATTAATAACTAAATAAATAATATTTTGATGATAAGTCATTCTTATCACAATTTTATTTACTTGCTTACCCATCATGTTCCATTTGATAAACATTCAGTTACCCTCATATTAAAACCTATTTACCAAAGTGCATGTGAGTGCAACTAATCTCATACTGTTTTTCTCTCCGTTCTTTGCCATTAAAATTATACTCTTCTTTATTTCATAATCATTAGTTGCCTATAAAAGTTGTATGCTTATATTTTTGTTTAGCCATTCTCTTTTTTTTTCTTTTAACTTTCTTTGTCTCTATTAACTAACTTTTAAAACAAGAAGTATATTTATAAAGTTTGTGTAAACATATAACAGTAAAATGAGTACAATCTTAATAATATTTAGAACTATGAATTTAAGGTACTTTAAAACATGCTTTTAAAATCCCTAAAAAAATATTACATGATTCAATTAAAATGTCAAAATAAATTGTGGAAATCCTTGAATAACCTTGTAGTTAGTTTAACATTTTTATAATATTATGTCACAATTCATCACCACAATTAATTTTATCTCATCAAGTCATGATAAATCAAAATTGTACTTACTTGTGTAAATTTTTTTTCAAAAACTAATATAAAATATAAGTATCATGTATATAGTCTGATTAAATAAAAAATATGTATTTCATGTAAAGAGAAAAATAATGTAAAATTAATTCAAAAAAGAAAAAAGTGATCTAATACATTTCAAATGTCAATAAATCAAAATAAATGTTAAGAATGCTATGTTTAAAAATTTGTAACTTTCTAAAAGTAATTCCATTTTACACATTGTATAAACTGAATTAATATTTTACAGCACACTGGTGATTTGGGAAATATCACTGCTAACGAAAAAGGCAGAGCAATATTTTATTTTAAAGATAAATTAATAAATATATCAAGCATAATTGGTCGATCAGTTGGCATAACAGAATATGAAGACGATTTTGGTAAAACCAAAATAAATACATCGGAAATTGATGGAAATAGTGGGAAAAAGTAAAAAATTGTTTATCATAATTGTTTCTAAATTATTAACCTATTTATTTAAACAAAGTATTATATTTTCTAGTCGTGTTTTATTCATAGTTATTTTTTTTTTTTTTAGAATTGCTTGCGGCATTATTGCAAGATCTTCTGGTTTGTTTGAGAATAATAAAAAGATATGCGCTTGTGATGGCGTAACTCTATGGGAAGAAAGGGATGTACCATTAGCTGGACCCAGCCGACAAAGAAAAATTAACATTTAAACATTTTACTTTTACTTGGTTTACATTGAGTGTATTTATTGAGGTATATATTTAATAAATTATGTAAATATCGTTATTTAAATAATAAGAAGTGTTGGTTATATTATACTTGTGTTGTATATGATTAATAAAAATATAAATGTTATAATTTTGTACAATTTTTATATGTTTTACAAAAAAAGTCAGTTTTAAATATCATATTATACCTGATGTTGAATTATTAATGTCAATGTTAGTCAAACTAGAGGACGGCGATTCAAATTGTATAGTTTTCATAGCTTCAGCAACTAGTTGTTGTAAATTTTTCGGTAGACTATTCATTTCATTGGGATATTCTTCCAAATTAACATCTGAAAAAAAAAGTACATCATGAACTTGGCAATAGTAGTTATATCACATACCTACATTTAGAAGTATGTGTTATATATATATTTTATGTCAAATTTTAAAAATATATTTTTAAGTATTTGGGTTTAATAATATGACAACTACATAATATTTTTTTTTAATAGAAACTTACTTTCAATTTCCTGCAACTCTTCATTGGAAACTATACAAGCATTCAAATCTGAAAAAATATTGTAAACATTTAAGTTATTTTCATTTATTAACAATTTTTGATTAACAAAATATTACAAAAAAAAAAGAGCTGGGGCTGGGTGTGCCACTGTTTTAGATGGGAAGTTGCAAAGGTAGAATACATAAATTTATTTAATGTTTACCTATGAGCAATGATAAACCATTTCTCATGAAAAATGATTCAGAGCAAATTTTGGTTATACTTATAAATTTGTTAGTTTTTCCGGTTTTCTCAATATGAAAACTACTTGGAAAATAAATAACGAGTCTCTTACTACCAAACTAGATTCAAAATACAACAAAAAAGGTCTCCTATCGTTTTTCTATTGGAGCAATATTTATGGTATAAAACATAGTTAACAAAAATTAAAAACAATGAAATTGGTAACTTCATGGGATACACGGTAGATATTTGTCATTTTCCCCATAATTTTTAATTCAGTTTTTCCTAAATATGAAAATCCCTTGAAAAATCTAAAAATAACCTGCAATGCACCAACTGAAGAAAATTTCCTTTTAGAAAAAATGCTACACTTCATACATCAGAGTAAAATTTTTGGTATTAAAGTTGTTCACACATACACAAAAGAAATAATAATAAAAAAAAAAAACAGATCACATTAAAACCAATAATCTCTCGCTACGCTTCAAATCTAAAATAATGATAACTTAAAAAATGAATACTTACTATTTCATAGCAAATATTATTGAGAAGTAAGTAGATAATTTGATGTGCAAAATGTTTACCATTAATTACTAACCGTCAATGGAACTTGTATCAAAATCTGTTTCGTCAGATGTATCAGCATTTTCATTCAGTAAAATTTGTGAAGGTGAAATGATGGCTTCACCTTGTTTAATAGCTTTTAACCGTTCCTCTAAGTCTTCCAATCGTTTAGCTAATATTCTGTAAATAAAATTTGAAAAAATAACATTAAATATATATATTATCAATTCAATAAAACTGTAATATTACTTATTGGTTTTTTTCTGGTGGTTAAGAGCTATGATTTTATCTTGCAGCGCTTCAAATAATGTTTGACACAACTTCCTCAATTCACTGATTGTTGTGTTGTTTGAAAACAAGGCTTGAAAGTTTCCAGTTTCCAAAATTTGTTGCACTTCAAATAGAATTTTAATAAAATTATCTTTATTTATAATAAAGGTATGATACACAAATCAACAAAAGACTAACTCTGTTTGCAAGCAACCACTTTGCGGGCTATTGAATTACTGGCACACATTAGAGATGATGTTTCTTCTACTATCGTTGATGTATTCTGAAAAAAGTAAATTAAATATTAATAATAATGAACTTAAAATATATACAATATGATGTAAATAAAATAAATCTTAATATAGGACTTGATATTTAATTTTAATAAATATTGTATTTTCTAATTATTTAATAATTTAATGGATGCATAATATGCAATACTAATAAAGTGATGATTTGATTATTTTTAATCAAAGGAAAATTGGTAATGAAAAACAAAAAAAATAAATAAATGGCAAAAATGTTTTCAAGGCACTGTTGGTTTTTGCAATAATAATTAAACATTTAAAACTGACTTTAATATATAAGCTAATAAACATAGTACTTAGAGATTTTATTGTTTTTAATATGAAATTTAGATTTAAAACATAAAATCACAATTAGGTGCTTGAAACACCATCCATGAAACTACATTGTACACAAATATTAAAATATCCTAATACTTCATGATAAATTCTTCAACTGTACAATACAAACATTCTACGATCAAAAATAGTATACCGTAAGAAGCTGTAAGGGACATAAACCTGGTATAATGAATTTGTTTTCTTAATCATTTCCTTTTCGGCGACCTCTAACTGCAGCCTTTCATTTAAATACCTGAATTTCATTCAATTGATTTTTTTTTTTATGAATTCTATAGGTACGTATGTAAAAATAGTTTTAATGTACATACTTATTTTCTAACAATATACTATCAATGTCTAAAACTCGTTGGTTTATATTTGCATTTAAAGAGGCTGCTAGTTCATAATTTAATCGTCTAATTTTATTTCGGAAACCTTCTCGTTCTGTGATTAACTCTTGTTTGTCGTCAAGCAACAAACTGAAATCGCGTTTCAACTGCTGATACTGAAAAACATCAGTAAACGATATTTAAAAAAAAAAAACACAAATACAATATATACATTTTTAATCAAATACATAATAATACACAATAAGTACATACTTTTGAATGTATTATTTCTAAATTTTTCACCAATTCTTCTTTACTGTTAGAGCTCATTAAGACAGTGTTAATACAATCTTTGACAAAGCCACCAGTTCTTAATACCTATTACCACAATATTAAGTATACTTTATAAATTTAAAAAAAAATTAATTACATTACCAGGTAATAGATATAGTAAGATTTACAGAATTATATTTTTTGTTTTAGCAATTATTACCCAAAATTAATTTTTTAAAAATTGTAATAAATATATTTCTGGAAACTTATAGTAAATCTAATTTTAAAAAAAATCTGATGAAAAATAATGTGCTCATCTTGTCTTTATACAAAATATTAGATTAAAATCTCACATAACTAGTTTTAATGTATAATATAAATTCATAGATTTAAAATATCAACAAATTTGATTTAAAATAAAAAACCTTACTTGATTATCCCCTTGTGCGTCGTGCAATTTTTGACGTACGTCTTCGGTTTCCAACCGCAATAGTTTATTTTCTTCTCTGAGTTGATTAACAAGTTTATCATAGTTCAATTGGTAATTCTAAGAACATAAAATTTAATTTACACATAATCTATAATTATAATCATAATCAATATTTTACTCTGTTATATGAGTTGTTTAACATTTTGTTTTCCAAAATAACTTTCAAATTATCACGTTCTATTCGACATTTTTCCAATTCATTACTCAACACCGTAAGGGCTGCAGTTTTACTGTTTAACTTTTGCTCTAGGGCAGTATTCTACACAATTTAATCAATTGTTATAAAATGTAATTTTAGTGATATAATTATTTAACTAATTCAAATTACAAATCTATGTACGTAAACTTAGCCAACATGGTATTAAAGTCACTTACGTCCATTTTTTTTTAAAAATTAACCACATTTATATAACGTTTACTATTGAATAATGTCAACATATGGTTAACAGACTACATATTTTCTGTTCCAATTAGAATATTGTAATAGTTGAAAAGGGTTTGTTCAAAAAAAATTCATCAGGATTCTTAAAACAAATCGCGTCACAATTGATAGGTCGATTATAAATAGAGTATATTAATTGCAAGTAAATATTTCATAAATTATTATTTGAAAAAAAAAAACCTAATGTATTATACTACTGATAAGTTAAAAAATTGAAATAGAAAACTATTACACAGAGAAAATGTCTGTATACAAATTACAATAGGTAAAGAAAAAATCTATTGATAAGGATTGATAATAAAAACAGCAGTTTTTGGTAGCTGCTTAACCATAGATCATGCAATATGTATATAGTTCCAATGATCATACCAGAATGCGCTAATTGCTGAAAAGTGCTTGCACCGCGGCTTAGAGGATCTAAGACCGTGACTTTCACCAAGGCTATAGATATACCTATAGTATTATAGGTACCTATATTATACATTTTTCATCTGATTATTTTGTAATTAAATTTACTATATGTTTCTAAAAATATATTTATTTCAATTGAGTAATTGACCACAAAAATTATAATTCTGTAAATATTATTATATTTACTGCTCAATAATGTAATAATTTTAGAAACATTAGCACAGCTCCATATCCATAGGGACTTAAATATTATTATAGATAATATTATTATACGCTTTGCTAATCAAAAAAAAAAGGCATGAATGCTTTTATTATAATTATTATAAGATAGGTAATGAATTATAAGTCAATACATTTATAGCACACTAGCTAAAAGTATTCTATTGTGAAATTTTAATAGTGTAAATAATGGTAATAATTATAATAGTTTTCTTATCCGTGACAACCAAATTATCATCCGTATCATCAAGGTAACCCTTGAGAAACAAAAATAAATAAATAAATGAGCAATTAGATATTCGTACCAAATATACCTAAAAACCCCTATTTTACCGAATTTCAGCTCGATCTGTTCAGTAGTTAGGGCTAGGCGATGATGAATCAGTTAGGACAAGTGATATTATAAATAAAGATTATGTATATCTTTCTTTTAATATACATTAATATTAAAGTGTGTAATTAATATATAAATATTATTATACCTGCAATCGTATGTATATTTTATATTATGTGGCTTTAATATCGGCCTTTCCCTTGAACATCATGTATAACCGCCACTGCCTGAAGTATTATAATAAGTGTATTATACGACCAGTTTAGAATTAAAAATTCATCATCAGGTATATCACAGTCAAATATAAAACGTGACTGAACATAAAAAATTAAATGAAAGAATACATAAAAAAAATTATACAAATTGGTCGTTTTACATAGAATATAGAAATAATTTATTTTAATAGGAGAGATTATTTAAAATTAATTATTATTAGACATAGATATGTTAAGAAATATAAAATATTTGGTTATTATTTATTATCTACATTATTTTTAAAATCGGTTTGAAACATTTAAGATATTATTAAAATTATTTTTCTTTATTTGATTGTGTATGTATAATTCTTTTAAAACTGAATTAATTTAAATGTCATTTCGGGTATTTAATATTTCTAGGTATGTATTAATGTCAAAACTTATATTATGGTTATTTTCTAAAACATGTTTAGCGAAATTTAAATTTGTGACAGTCTTTTTAAATTTTATTTCAGAAATGTGTTCTTTATATCTTATTTTAAAATTTTTATTTGTCTTACCTATATACAATTTATTACAATTACATTTAAGTTTGTATATACCAGCATTTTCAAAAGAAGGGGGATTTTTTATGAAGTTTTTAGTTCTATTGTTTATACATTTGATAAAATTATTATTAGTCTTAAAAGCGATTTTTACATTATTTGTATTATTGTTTAGAATTTTAGCAAATACTATAGACATATTATTTTGATATTTCATACTACAATAGTAAATTATTGAGTATTTAGAAAATTCAAAGAAATTGTTAACAACGTTATTTGGTAAGTTGTGTATTATTTCTACACTCTATATAACACGACCAACTTGTAATATTTTTTCAATGTATTTCTTCATTTATTTTTTTATATTCAGTCGCGTTTTACATTTTGACTGTGATATACCTGATGATGAATTTTTAATTCGAAACCGGTCGTATACACATAAATTACTCCAGGCGATGTATATATTCATTTATTTATTTTATTTTTATATTTGAAATTTTATTTATATATTTGTTTACGGTATTTATAAAATATAAAGCTTGAAAACTTCTTGGATTCGTATATAGAAGCTATATCGACTTCAATGATAAAAATACTTTTATTTAAATTTCTGTTCTGTAGTAAGCTCAATTTGAGAATATGGTCCATTATCTAGTCACGCTATAATATTGGTTTAATATCTACTCTTAAGAAAGTTTAAAATAAGTTTCTACGCTTTTTAGCTTTCAAGTGTACATACCCAGAGCTCCCCATACAACTTAACAATCCTTTACTTACTTAAATCTTGAATTCCTTGAAAAGCGCCGAAAAAGACTTGATATATATTTTATTTTTAAGTTATTAAATGGCTACATTGACTGTCCTAACTTCTTAACCCGGCTACCTTTTAAAGTTTCCTCAGTTAACACCCAATCAACTAATATTTTTTATTCAAAATCTCAAACTACTAATTATGCTTTAAAAACACACCACTCTTAAGAAGAATCTTGTACATTAGCTGTAAATAATTATAACATTGATCCGTTTTATTCTATTTTTTTTTTACGCATTTAAAATCATGTTTTTACTAACCTATTTACACTTATATATTAATATATCTATAATATTAATAGTATTTTGTTTTTGTTTTTATGTAATTAAATATTTTTTGTTTCAAAAATTTTCCCGAATGCTATGTGTAATAATAAATTCATGTTATTGGGTCCTATCCCGTATAATATTTCAATAAATAAACAAATAAATAAATAATTAATATATTATTTTTGTGTTTTTTTTATAATATCGTTTATTTGTATTTTTCATTACCAGCAGTTGAAACGCGATTAAAGTTGGTTGCTAGACGACAAACAAGAGTTAATCACGAACGAGGTTTTGAAGTAAAATTAGATCCAAAAAAAAGAAAACCCAAGGAAACTTTATTCAATAAAAAAATCTTCACGCTCAAGCCAAATTCCTAATAAAAAAAAATATGTCCTAGGATAATGGGGATGGATGCAGTCACTGTTATAGATAATTATTAATTTAATGTATAACTATAAGCAAAGATAAACCATTGCTTACGAAAAAACGATTCTGAGCACAGTTCAGTTAATAATGATGCTTTGCCAACAATATATGTAATTTTATAGTAAAATAAATTTAAAAATGCATTTCGTTCTAACGGGTGCTTGTCACGTCCTTAATTAAAAACGATTTACTCGTCAGTGTAGGCCTCGTACGGATTTCTTCGATATTTTTGATAAACTGACAAATTGTACAAGATAAGTCTAAGGCAAAAATCTGACACTTTTTGAGAAGGGGTTGGATGCCAGAATAATCTCAATATATATTATATTAAGACTGGCTTATCATATAAAATACCAATTTTGAGGGTTTTGGATGGTCCTGGGTAAACTATCCCTTAAATGTCCGCTGACAATACCTCACGAGGACTACAAATATTGGTCGGATGGTTCAGAAAAAAAAACTAACAAATAAATATTTATAACATACATTACGCATTCAATATGGTTGTACAAAATGTAAGTTTTTATTCACTTCATTTTCTATAAAAATATTTCTTTAATGTTTATATGTCACGAATTAAGATATGTATAATTAAATTAATCTTAACTCGAGGTTTATGCCTATAATAATAATAATAATAATAATAATAATAATAAACGGTGACACTGATTTGCCCGTGATGGTAACCAATTGCAGTCGGCGTCAATGCCGAACTCAAAATTTGGCATTTGTAAACGGTTCTTTGGTTCGGATTTTCATTTGTTCCGCCGTCAATATTTTCGTTATGATTTTTATTTTGTATACATTTATTTTTATCGCAAAAACCTGCAAAATTCAAAATAGATTGTAGATTTTGAAATACTCATAATAAGTGCATAATAACAATAATCATCGTGTGTGTTCAGATATATAGAAATGGATTTATTTAAATGATTTGGTATAAAACAGCGTACAATGAAAATTGAAAAAAATCACTAAATTTATCGAAGAATTATCGTATCTATTTATTTAAATAATACCTAATTTATAAAAAAAAATTTCCTTTTTTTCTTTTAATCATAAAACGTACCACTTTTCAATCTCGAATAATTACAGTACTATTATACAGCGTATTCGCTGTATTGTTCGAGTAAATTTAAAATATCAATACTTATAGAATATAATGTTGTTTTTAATTTTCATTAATAAGTGAAATCTATAAAGTAATTTTGAATAATGGTAAATACTTTAATATAGTTTTAGGTGAAGAAATTTGACGATGATGTAACATGTACTTAAATGATAATAACGAAATGGGACCATTTTTAAAAGTTTTTTACGAAAGTATACGTATAAATATTTTAAGATCGATAAATATTCAGCTATTTGGTTAAAAATGTCTATAAAAAATCTCTTCAATTTTGCAAACAAGACATCTTTTTGAACACGTGAAATTAAAATACTAATAATAAATGTATAATATACATACTACGAGTATGTGTACTTTATAGTATGTACCTCTGTCAGAGACCAGTCTAATCGAACGGACAGGATTTACTGTTTCGCATTTTGATACAGAACGTCCCTCGGGCGCTAAAAAACATAATAACAAAAGCGATTAGATTTAGGTTTTAGGTGCACCTACAAACAAATACTATACCTATATTTAATAATAAAAGTAAACCTACTACGTAGGGAAAAGAAATTAATTTGTGTTTCGTTAGGAATGGTTGAATAAAAAAATATATTAAAATAAATTACAAAAAGTTCCTAGCAGAAATTAGAATTTTAATGAAGAGGAGGGATGTGGTGTGACCGGGTAAAATCATTGAGAGGAGATATGATGTGATATTCAAGAAAATTGGAGAAGAGCTATAGACCACAGGATAAGTGGCTCGACATTTTTTTTGAAGCGTGTAGAGTAGATGAAGTAATGGCGATGGATAAAGCTATAATATGATGGGCTATGATAAAAGAAATTAAGTGAAATCGGTGAGTTAAATGTATGAAGTTGGTCGGATAAAATACAGACGAAGTGATTGGTACAGTATCGGAAAAGAGAACACGATGGAAAAGTTTGATAAGAAAACGAAATTAGCGGATTGGTTAAGAGGAGTGACATGGCAAAGACTGTCTTTTAAGACCTGTGCGTCAGCCAAAATTGGCGAGTATTTCGTGGATGGTTTGAGGAGTAACCACGAAGAACCAGGTAACCATAGAACAGTGAGTTTGAAGTAATAAACAATCAAAATTTATATTGATTTGTGAAGTGATGGTAAAAACATGTTCTACGTGCCACTGAAGGCACAGGGGCTGTTGAAATTGATTATAGGAAATAGCCGCGTAAGAAATCCTAAGATGGATAAAATATATAAAATCGATCATGAAAGATGTAATTCGTATTTACTATTATTTGTAGAAAAATAAAACGGACAGAGTGAAGCTGCAAATCAATTTGAAGATTGATAATAATAGAAAGACAGAGAGAGATAGTATATACATACTTGTCGGGAGTGTGAAATCCCATGGAGACGCGAACGTCTTTGGTGTACGCCGGAGACAGGGGTTGACAAGTCGACGAGCAGGGTACCCCCCGATGCCGTTTGCCTCGCTCAGAAACGGAAGCCGCGAAGAAACAAGCGCTCAAGAAGTGACTGCACCGGGCGCGGCCTATGTTTCAAAAGAAACGACAAAAATACGTACGGTCAGATTTTAAATAGGTAATAAAATGTACATATCAATACAATACTAATGTACTATTAATATAATATTGCGCTACTGTATAAGCGAAAACGATTCAAGCTCCACTAAAACATACAGTAAAAGCCACCATTTAACCTTTATAATAATGTAATACCTGCACCTCGTATACATTTTACACGCGGTAAATAATATTCTACTATTACGCTTCAAAGGCCGCGTATATTTTTCTAAAATAATTGCTTATGTATACTTACCTACCGCGGCACCGCTTCTGCAGACCCTCTGGAAAGTATAATAATTTTTCTTTGGACAATATTATTCGTCGAACGGTTTTTTTTAAATTTTATATTATGTATTTATTGAAATTTTCATTAAATACGGTAGGCTCGTGTAGGTATTTGTCAAGAATTTAAACGGGGGGGGGGGAATTACTAAACAACTTTTTTAAATATAATATACACGTCCCGCTTTATACTAACGTAGGAGATGCATAGTGGGACAGATTTTTAAAAAAGTGTAAAATTCACATTGTGAACAAATTATAAAACTGTGTTTTATAATAATGGATAAGTGTATTTAAAAATTTTCAATCATGTGTGCAATTTATTTTCAAATTTATTTAAATTACTACACAAAATAAATATTAGTACAGGCATCAAAATATTACCTAAGGTTCTTGAAAGTTGATCAGAACAAAATAAATCAGGATTAAAGTAAATGATGTCTGTTAAATTTTTATTATACAAGGATGCAAAAAAAAATTTTGCGTAACTTAAAACAGTTTTATAGTACGCTGAAATACTATACTAATGAAAATTGAAGGAAACTGTAGAAATTAATCAAATACTATACACAATATTTTTAAGATACGAAATTATTTATAGTGCGCACTGTGCTGATATCTCTAGTATTTGAGTAGGTGGGTTAATTATTTGTAGATATTTCAGCGATGCATGTAATATTTTTTCCATACATTAATATAATATTGTACTTCATTTTAGTACGATATTTGACTTTTCGTAATTTTTTGCCTTTTTAAAATATCTGTCCCATTATGCGACGGTCATCGGACAACTGCAATAGCTTCTGCTCGTGAGATCCCGCGAAAATGTTCCAAATCGGGTTTTCAGTAACACGGGATTTTATCGGTCTGTAAATATCCGAGTCGGATACGTTCGAAAATCCGCTGGAGACACGTACGGACGTCTACAATAATATTGTACACAACGCAGGCTTATCATTTATTAAATTAATTAACAAAAAATGTTTTGTGAAAAAAACGAAATATGAAATAACATCACGCGTGGCTTGAATATGGAACATCGCTGTGATGGTATTGTGTGTGCTCATCCAATATTATATACTATTACTATAGCTATATGCTCGTTCTGTAATTCTAAATGCAATACATATTATTACAAAAATGTACAATATGATAATAATAATATTATAGACTATATTATAATAACTTGCCAAAACTACATTTGTAAAAGCGTGTTTCGTATACCAATAATATCGTTTAAGCGAAATTGCGCCTCCTGAAAAAAGAGACGACATATACATGGGTAGCGCCCTCTTATGGGGCCAAACGAAATGATTGTATTGCCTAGTGCAGATTTCGGAATGGACGAGGCTCAAATGAATTCGTTTTCATCCGTTTAACGTTCAAAATGTATAAACAATACATAAATTAAGTTATGCTATGTTATTTAAACAGTTTTCTTTTAAATTAAGTTCATATTTTCAATGAATTTAAACTTTTTAAGTGAACCCTGAATTTAATTTCAATTGAACATTTTTAAATTTTAAATGGACTGTTCCTTTTCGTTCAGATTCCTAATTTTACATTGAGAATTAATAATGAAAATAATTTCAGCAATATTATTATCAACTTTATCACCATAATTTAAGTTCTAAACAGTAAGATACATTATTCTGCTATATTACTAGTCAGAAATACAAAGATATAAAATTATATTGTATAGTGATATCCCTTGAGATTATTTGTATAGTTTACTTCATACGTATAGGTAAAGTTAGAGTGGAAATCAATATAAAATAAAATTTAAGTTTGCAAGTTCATTAGGCAAAAATCAACTAATTCATGGACGAGTCTATATTTCAAATTAACTGTCCAAGGTCCGGACTCTGAAGTTTTACAAAATACGGAAATTGATAAAAATAAAAGTAACGAAAATCGAAAAGTATTGTAATAACAACAATATAATTACGAGTATACGTATACGAGCGTTTCTTCTTCGGAAAAATATGTCTATTATAAACACCAAAGGCGTTTTGAATAATATATCGACAAAGTAAAAAAAAAAAAATATATCGTTTTTATTTCGTTCCAACGATTGTATTATTCATTTTCTATATAGTCTATATGTATAATATGGTATAACATTTCGCGGTCGGACACGATGTTCGTATAATTATTATTTTATTATATAGGTAGTACGATTCGTGTAGGTACGCGTTATAATATTATTATTTTTCATTATTATTATTATTACATTGTCGGTGGTATAGTAAAACGTTTCGAAAGAAAACGACATTTCTATTTGAAGGTTTTTTTCGGACACTTGTCGCCGCACACACCGGTAATAATTTTAGTTATACCTATAATACTATACTATGAGTATCTCGTCGTCTTTAAACGACACGTGACAATAAGTATATATATATAGCCCCAATTAGAAGCCCGTATCTGGGTGTTCCGGTCTACAAAAAAAAAAAAATGTATTATAATATTACTGAGTTTTTTTTTCATCACCAAACACCATCGTCAGTTCGGCGGAACGTTTAACGCGGTACGCTTATCTATATACGTACAATATAATATAGTCTTTCATATTTTATGTTACAATCAAATTTTAATTTTTTCAAAAAATGATTTATGTGTGTGAACTTTTTGGAATCATATTACATCCCAAAATGTTACAGTTTGGATGAAAATAATGTAGCATCATTTGACGGCAAGGCACGTGACATTTAAATCGCACTCCACTACTACCCAAATTTCAGGTGAAACGAGTTGACGAGATATTAAAAATGTAAACACCAAAATTTATTTAAATTAACACTCCATCTATTTATGGAATTTTTAATATAAGTTCTCATTAGAATTTCAAAATTTGACCCTTAAAACCTCCTCCAAAAAAGAGTAAAAAAAATATACATTGGTATATTTTAGCTAAAACATCATCTGATCATGGAATTTAAATCTAGTTTAGTGTTTGAAAATTAAAATTGGATGGTGCTTCCCCCCTCCCCCCGTAAATAAGACTGAAAAAAATTTAGGTAAATTTATTATTTCAGAATATATGATTTTAAAAAGTGTTGACAGAAGTCATTTTTTGAAAATATAAATATTTCAAAGAAATATTATTGTAACGTAAAATGTTGAAGACTTTGTGTATAGGCTAAATGTTTGATGCAGTGTTTTGAGGTACGAGGGACAAGTAGTTTAGTTTAGTTTTCGAAGTACGATATTTTTCGAAAATTCATGGTGCCCGGTATGAGTATCACATTTACTATATATCTCTCTCACTCTCTCTTTCTATTCCAATGACGTGTTTACACTCTAATAACTTTTGCTGCTACACTTCGTCACTTGTCTATTTAGAAATGTCTCTCTTCAGTTTTAAACTCCCAAGCGTTCCAAATCCTCTTCTACCACGTCAATACATCTTTTCCTAGGTCTTCTTCCCTAAGGTTTCTGTGCCATAACTATTTGAACTGTCTTGATCCATTGGATCCTTTGGCCCTTAACTTAGCTATTTATTAGTGTTAATTCCATCAAATCGTACAATTGCCTATTGTATCTCTTTAGCCAGTTTCCCATTGTTTCACCGATGATGACATATTTTCCTCCATATTTTATTCTCGAATGTTCTCAAGTTTCTTTCTATCTGTTTGTTCGTCTAAATCTCGCAAACATACGTGAAAGATAATGTCTTTATAGTTATGTATACCTACGCTTATTTTTGTTTTTCCAAATAACATTATACTGTCTTTGCTTACAAACACACGACATAGAAAATGTACAATAAGTGGAAAAAGTGTTGTTAATATTTTAATAACCAAATTGACCAAATTTTACTAAAATTAAAGGTAAGGAAATAAAATGAATACGATGGGAATACGTCGAATACAGCACATTTAAAGACATAGTATTTCCCTATATACAAGTTACTATAATGGAAATCCAAATATGCAGAAAATATGCAGAATATTAAAATGTCGGGTATTAGAAAACAGGATAATATTTTTTGGAAAAATTTCCATGGTCGGAGAAAGGAGTCTCTCGTTTATTATTATCGAGTCGATGTGGGAATTGGCGCGGTCACTGTTTCACGTTCACAAAACAATGAGTTTCGTGTGAAAAAAAAAAAGTTAATACTTATACGTAATTCGCATAACATTATAATCGTACCATCTGCCAAAATACAATATAACATACGTTAACCAAAAAAGCAATATAATAACATAATATAATAGTATACCAAAATTCTACACCGTGTAATGTATGTAATGCGCTCTGCAATCTTGCGTAAAACCAGCTACTATAATAATTAATAATATTATAATTATATATGCGTAAATATTTATTCGGCGGCGGCCTGGCCTGGCCTGGGTTTTTAATATTTTCTCTCCGGATCAGGGACGTGTATTTACAGACCCTATCCAAGTTTGTTCCAAACGATAATATGTGTAAATACGTAACATATCGTGTTTTTTCGTCAACCAGGTAGTATGTTTTTAGTATGTTTCTTGTGTTGGATTTGGGTCATGTTTTGAAAACTACTGAAATCTCTTAAAATGCCTAAAACCAACTCGGTTAGGTTAGGTTAGGTCGGGCTAGTCGGGTTGAGTCGGACAGTATTTGTAAATACGTATCCAAGTTTCAAGACAAAATTAATTTAGGTATATGTACGAGAAAACTTATTTATGTACACAAATCGTTTGGCATCCTACTAAATCACGAACAATATATTTTTGCATAATATTATATTATTATTTATTACACAATAAGAAGAAGACGATTTGGAGGACTATAATTTAATTTGTTGGAAAGTATTTTGTCGGAAATGGGTTTTATGGAAACGTATTTTGTGGGAAAAATAATTCGTTGGAAAGTATTTTGTTGGAAAAATGTTACGTCGGAAAGTTTTTTTCGGAAAAATAATTCGTCGGAACAGTATTTTGTCGAAAACATTAATAACTGGAAAATATTTTGTCGGAACTGTTCAATATAAATTCATTATAAGCACTGCGTGACTGCATGTTATCGTCGTTGAGTAAAAATGATTTTTCGAAAAAATACGGTTCCGACAACATATTTTCCGAAGAATTATTTTTCCAAAAAAAAACTTTTCGACAAAATACGTTTCCGACTAATTATTTTTCCGATAAATACAATTCCTACAAAATACGGTTCCAACAAAATATGTTCCCGACAAAATATTTTTCCGAAAAAAATACGGTTTCGACAAAATATTTTACAATATTTTATACGCTACCGATGATTTAAATAATTAAGAAAAAAATTGATATAATTGCTGGCCGAATTATCGGATTAAAAATCGGTGATGAATAATGATACAAATAATATGGTATTTTTCAAAAATTAACCACTTCTAGAACGTTCGGGTGAAATCTTTGGAAGGGGATATCTACTCGTAGATATATTAAAGCGGTTCGGTATGGGTGTAACTGCATTGTACCGAGAATCACTCAGCTCTAAATGGAAATATAATTCGAAGAAAACCGACAGAAATATTCCTTTATCAATATTGATAACGTAATTTTTAGATTTTCGAACCGAACAACACGTCTGTTGTATACGATTCCGAGAGGAATTGAGAGATTTTCGCACGCGCATGTATAATTATTATATCCACATATATAATATATATTATATATAGTCGCAATTAGCGTTTTTAACACTTTTACACATGCAAAGTGCAATGTTTATAACGTATACGACTTTATGAGCGTCGACAAATTTGTCGTGCGGGTTGATTATCTATAATAGGAGCTTAGCTCCCAACCACCGCTATATTTGCACCCGTACGATATTATTACTATTATCTTTCTATCGCAACGCCGAAACCACCAGTTTTCACAGTCGATTTTATTATGTATATAAAATAGAGATTGTTCGACACGCACCGCCGCCATTGCCGCTGCCGCCGCCGTATCTCGTTATACGCGTAGTGTAATTATTATCGTGATGGTATAAATGGTGACCCCTACATCTCAGTTGGGCTAATCGATCGTTTCGCAAGACGGGCGACGAGCAATATTTATTACGGATATTTCTGGGCTCGTTGGCGCAGCTCGGCTGCAACCGGCCGCCGTTGACGCAAAAGTCCACGTGTCCCACCTGCGGCGCCTCGCCGAGGAAACCGGCGTTCGTGTGGATCACCTGCACCATGGTTGCGTCGTCTCTGGTCAACCGGAACTCCGCCGACCCGTACCTATCCACCAGCGGCCTGGCCGGGTCCAGACCTGGAAACGGAAACGATATGGAATATAAATATATACGGGTCATGCATACAACAGTCGTTGAAATGTTTAAAACGGTTTAGTCAGAAAAAAAAAATCATTATAATAATATAGAAACTATACCACGAAAACACCTATAATATTATCTACGTGCGAGTAGTATTAAAAGTGTATAGCCGGTGTAGTAAAGTCGGTTTTATTAGATATAGTCTATAAGACGAGAGTATTTTAATGTTAACAACAAAATAAAACTTTGTCAAAAAGTTTGGTTTCATTAAAATACATAAGTAAAAATAAATTGTCAGCATTTTCAGCATTTACATTTAGTACTATTTTAAACATTTCAATAAACATTAAAACCCGTCATATATAATTGTCATCTAACTACTTTATATATAAAACAAACATAATGCAGTTCAATAGTCTCTATTTTAGGAAAAATTCAACAAAAACTACGCAATATACATTTTGAAAATTGTTTGTAATAATTGTATATAAAAAATGTACATTTATTTAAGTGTTCTTTAGCTATTTTAAACAAATATATGTAACAAGTTCTAAACCCTACATTACTGTAATTATAACATACACAAGTAGAGAAGCGTAGCTGCAGAATAAAATATTTAGGCAGTTTCTGCAAGTCGGTCATACCCATATGATGGAGGAGGTGAGAAGAAAGTTGGCTTATTTTAACATGACATTTTATATTTTTGAAATTGACGATGGTAGGTAAAACTTATTAGTGTTAAAAATTACAAATGTAAATTTTTGAAGATAAATAGGCTAGATCTCTCAAGTGTCATGTTTAGGGAATGAGAAAGCGAATTGTAACTTTTTATAATTTCATTTTATATACTATTTTTCGAAATATATATAGGGCATTCTTTGTATGACATACTCTTATACTACAGACGTTGGTATGGAAAGGGGGCTTGAAATACTGAATTATTAAATGTTGAGAACCAATATGAACTATGTGATCTCCTATAATTTAAATTATATATTAGTTAGATAGGTACCTATAAGTTTTATTAAAAGTTAATGTGTAAGCGTGACGCATAATATACAATAATTTTGTACAGTCGTTTTTATCGAGTAAATTTCACTATAAATTGCAATAAAAAATTGTACTCTATCTAAAAATTAAACTGTTTTTTAGGGATAGTCAAGTTCTACGAGATGTGTAAAAAGTCATTCGAATTATTCTAATCCTCATAACTAAACGATATTATATCTATAAAATGATATATATTATAATATTATATCTATAAAATAGTACGTAAAAAGTAGTCCGTGTGAACTCTTTTAAACCGGGTCAAAACTGCACAGCTGCAGCTACAGTGTATTAACATTTACGTTTAATCGCTTTGTCTTGTACTAGTAGCTACGGGAAGGGGAGCGAGAAAAGACTCTTTCTCAAACTTCTGGCGATCGTTTGTCTACACTACGAAAAATTATAGTATCCGGTTTGTTCAAACATAACTGTTGATTAATGTGAAAATTTAATTTAAAATAAAATAGTTATAATTTTATTATATAATTAATAGTTATTTTTTTCTTCCCCACCTTGAGATTTTGTTCAGTCAATAGAAAATACCTCTAAGCATACTCCTTGGTTTTTAAACCGGAAAAGTGGGTGGCTAGGATGGGCGTGATATATGTCGAAATAATTTCGTTGCCTATGCAGTAAATAATGGTGTTTAAATTTTTAAATTTATTAAGCATTATTAATCTGCAGTAGAACAAAAGCGGAAAATATTTAAATAAAAGAAATCGAACGGGGATTTTTTTATCAAGAGAAATACAGTCGTTCGAACACCCCACAAGTTGACTCTATAAATATGCGCAGATTTAATAACATGTAAGCCGATGAGGTCTGTAAAGTAGAATAATTCGCGAGTTTTCGTGATCGATGAGCGGCGAAAGTCGAGAGTCTATTACGCAGTCGAATATATTATTTTATACACGTCTGAGCTTCTGAAGTGTTCGCGAAAACAATAGCGATTCTATTACATATGAACCCGCGACAAGCATTCGAAAATCGTCTCTATTATCTGGGGAATACATTGCGTTTCGTTTTTAAGAAGATGTCGACAATTTTTGGACATATTAATGTTACAATATCGCGTTGATGAACATTAAAATTGCCTATACGCGACCCCTTAAATATCGTGCGTGTGACATGAACCAGAAACTATATAAATGTATAGAACTCTGAAAATAGGTACTTTATTTTGATTATTACTTTTAGTAAAATTTTAGTAAAGTAATGGCTGTATATTAGATGCCCAATATAAAAGAGCTAAGAACTGATACTACTATACAGGATGTTTGATTTAAGTAAATACATTCATTATCTCGGAAAGTTTAAAGTATTAACTTTTTTCGGATTTTTTTATAGAAAATTTAAGAAACAAGCTGTTTTACAATTTTACATTAATGTTATTTTTCGTCACTATTACTTGCAAAACTTGTTTTTTTTTACCATTAAATACAACTTACGATGAACTTCGTGAAATGTTCAAACGTTTTTACCAAGCCAAAACAATTTTATTAACATAAAATCAAATAAAAGCCAAAAAACAAAAAAATCGAAAATTTAAAATGTTTATAAACGACTTTAAAATCGATAGAATATTTTGAAAATTTAATTATATCTAGAAATCTATATATATAAAATCCAAATACCACTGACTCACTGATCGCTGTATTTCAAAAACTACTCAACGTATGCACGAAATTTGGAATAATGGTCCCTCTAATACATCAACCATCCAATAAAAAAAATTGTTCAATACCTAAGGGGGTGAAATGGGGGTTTTTTGGTATATTTGATACGAATATCTATAATTACTTATTTACTTATATTTATTTATTCAAGGGTTACCTTGGTGTTACGGAAAAGAAAACTATTATAATAATTATAATTATTACTATTATTTGCACTATTAAAATTTCACAATAGAACACATTTACTCGTAGTCCGCCGAGGGTGGACTACCCACTTTCCACCTATTTGTTTTCATTTAATTCTGACACAGCCAAAACCAAAAATTAATATGGGTAAAATAATAATAAAAAAAATTGGCATGGACAACGCCGGACGCGGGACGACAGCTAGTAGCTTATATAAATATCTATTCGGTGAAAATTACAACAATAAAAACAGAATCGAATAAATAAAAGAAATCGGTATTTAATAATTATTGCGTTTATTTTCCCGTTTATCCCAGTGAGTAAGAAAACCATATGAAAAATCAAAATATGACCTCCAAATTTAATCAACTAAACATTAACTAAACAAAAAGCAAACGAAAAATCACAGTAAAACTAATATATTCCTCGCTGTGCTCAAAATCTAAAATAATATATTCTCGAGTCCGGTTTTTTTTTTATAGCTATAGAAACGAGACGATGTTGACCGCGTATTCGAATGAATCACGAGAAGTAATAATATACACCGAGCGGTTGATTTTTAATGTCGGGACGCATATTTGCCCTAGGTATAATACAATATTACAATATTACGCATATTTGTACGAGTTTCTAAAAAAAAAAATTGTTATATTATAATGTAGATACATGAGAGTAATTCGTTGCGTGGCGTCCAAAAATATTTCCGAACCGTATTCACGAGATGAGTGGGTGTAAGTAACGGGTCAAATACAAAACGGATTTATACGTACGGGAAAGTTTTAATATAATAATTTGACCAGTCAGTCATTGAATTCATACGGTCGTCATTGATTGTCTGCGAAAAACAAAAAAAAAAAATCGTTGAGGATAATTTATCTATTATCTCAGTTATAAATTGAAGATGTGTCTTCTTCTTGCGTGACCCATTATTCACAATAAAAAAACAAACGAGTTTTATCTGGACTCTCTATATTGTTTTTTTTTTTTTATACATATAGGTATAAAAATACGCGTAGGTATGTAAAGAGGTATAGAATTCGCGTCCGTTCAGTGAAATCATTCTTTTCCTGTTCAAGTGGACGCACCACGGAGAAAATTATTAACTATAAAGTTATAGTTATATACAAATATTAAAGTTACTGTAACTATATTATAATAACCACTAACCACTGATTAACGAGTGGACGTCAATACAAATGTATAGTTGCAAATTTGTAATTACCAGTACTATAATTAAGTTGTATTTACTAATATTGTTTTAGTTATTATTTGTTACGATACAGATTAGTTCTATCTACTATAATTTATGTTTAATTATACTATAATACATAGTAAATTTAGATCAGAAAAACTTGCCCTATTATAAATAGAGAAATATTATTAGTCTTAATAAGAGGAAACTTGTTGAGATAATGACTCATAGCATTAACTGTACACAACGAAAAATAACGACATAATGATCAATTTTAATAAACATTATTTATCAACGTTCAATAAACTCCAGGGGTTATTGGTTGTAATGAGTAGATATGGGTATATATTAAGTATATGTGCTTTATGGGATGGTATCTGTCATTTCTGCCGGAACTGTCATTTCAAATGATAAAGGTGGTATTAGATACATAAATAAAATGCTTAAATACCTATACTAAAGTATGATACCTAAAAATGATTAAAAATAATAGTAAAATTTAAAAAAAAATTTTCTCGTGATCCACTTGGCATTCCAAGAAAAGTGTAGATCCATACATTATTTTTCATTTTTTAACACCGGATATGAAGGTGGTCGTATTTTTTTCGATTCCACGTAACAGATGTATGGAATTTGTGTTTTTTTTTTTTTTTTTTGGCATGATTTCGGGAATTTTCGGAAACAAAAATAACATTTCACGCATGTATGAACTAAATTATAATTCATAAGTTTGAAGTGTTTATAATGTTCTTATTCAATATGTATAAACCAAAGATGTGTGGTAAAGAAAAAATAAAAATCCGGTAAGTTTCATTAGAAAATTTTCGCTCTAACGAGGATAATATATTATCAAATCTATAAAGAAATGTTCGTCCTCTTCTTGAATTCAACTGGATTTTACGCTGTTTAGGACTCGAATAGATTTGTTTACAATCTTCGGGATTTTTAATTCTGATAGACTGCATATTTATCAAACTCCAAATTATGAGATATTATCTTTATTACTTTCGATAAGTGATATAGTGTAATATGAAAATAGGGTCATAACTCATAATCCATACAATAACTAGTGTTGTCGTATAATTAATTGATAAAAGTTCAATGACAACATATTGTGTCACTGATTTGTATTAAAAAAAAATATTGTATGGCCAACCGTTCCAAACAAACGATTATTATAATAATTATATCGTGAATTTCATGGTTTTTATTACCAACTATAAATAATGAAATAAGTTTCAAATTTTTAAAAATTGTTAGGGGCTGCAGTCCCTTTAATCGGCACTAAAATTGGAAATTATTACAAACAAATATATTGATATTTTTTATTTATTCAAATTATTATCTATTTACTCTATTTATGTTAATATCAATACATATACTGTTACACAATAATTTAAATTTAATATTAAATTAAAAAGCGTTCGTAATTTATGAAAATAACGATTTCACTCAACGAATGCAACCTATTTAAACTATACGCACGTAAAGTATATAATATTTACTAAATTTCTGAAGGATTTTTCTTCCCTTTGAACTTTCTAAATTTGATTTTTTAATACTTAATATCAGGTATAGCAAGTGCAGGTATTATACTCCTGATATAAAAACCTGTATGATTTTGATGATGATGTGATTAGTCGAAATTCTGTAAGGTTAAAACCTGTAGGTTATACTTATTATAATATACCAAAATATATGCGTCCAGTTTTACAGTTTTTTTTCTTCTTTTATCGTATTACGGTCACATCCCAAATAATATAATACCTAATTAACGTGGAGCTGCACTTTTTTAAAATTTGATAACCGAATAATGTATATATATATGCAAACTTTTACTTTAAACACGCGTATACTATAATATGATGATAATAATATAACGTGTTCAACAAGTAGGTATGTACGACGGAAATATTTTTCGACGAAATTGCATCGGAATTTTCATTGTTCGCCGAGTTCCGCGCGAACTGTCCGGACGGCAGCTATATAGTATGTACAATACAATAATAATATGCTGTATTAATGCCAGTTGTGTCTGTGTGAGTATTATATATGTAACTCTGGAGAATATTCTCATTTGTAAAAAAATGCAATGAAAATGAAAGTCTTCGTTCTGATATACGAGTCAAACAGGAACGCGGCGAAAAAGAGGACTTCAGTAAATATCCATCATATCGCACGATAAAACAATGATATAATAATAAACTTTCAGAAATACCAGTGCTTAAATTGATAAATCAGCTATCATGAAACGTCAGCTACTATAATATTTTACGAAACCGTTTTTGGCAAAAATAAAAATACTTTTTGATGTTGAAGTGTTGACCGCGGTTCGCTGAATGACTTGATTCAGTACGACGATCGGCCCCGTCGATTTTTTCTCATCGACGATCGGGCTCTGCACGCACAGCTATTTTTTCATTTATCGTGCGTATGCTCTAGGACCTAGAGTCTAGGCCTTTGAATGCTCGAAGCGCAGTATTGTTCCCACGGGGCGAATGCGTGCACCTTATCACTTATCGATGTCAATATTAATAGCACGTGCAATAGCACTAGCGTCATCATTATCCCATTAATTCCCACTGCTACCAGTTAACTTTTTTTTAATCCCTTCAACCCCTTACCTTCTAAACTCTCGGTACCCTCTCAGGAGGTGATGAAATGGAGATAAATGAAGTGAGAGCTAAAGTTGTGTGGGCGCTGATTGGTTAGGAGGTGGGAGATGAAGGAGTGAAGAAGGCAGTGCTATTATACGTGGTATAGATATAAGTATAATGATAAGAGATAAGATGCGATGTCTAAGCGAAATCTCGTTTTGTTTTCGGTAACGTGAAATCAATCACAGTCAATCAGAAAAAAAACATTTGTATTCAGCCCTAAATCATATTATATATGTTAAACAAAGTAAAACACGTAAAGTTATTTGATTTGTATTTACACCTACCGATAATTCATTTCTGATAAAACACGATTTTAAGCCATAGTTTGGTAAAAATGATTTGAAACGCCGTGATTTTACTCTTTCTATTCAAAATTGAACTTAAATAAAAAAAAAAACATTAAATAACTACATTACGCTAAACTTTGTGTTTTGTATCACTAAATACATCAGCTTATTATATACAAGCCTTTCTGATTGACTAAAAGAGTTGTACCCATATAAAACAAAATACAATTTTTAAAAAACTCAAAAATGTTAAACATCTACAAATAATTGAAAAATCGACAGACTGTTTTGAAAACACATATTTACTGTTTAGGAAAGGTTAATATAAAATTTCTGGTTTAACTTTTATTGCCTTAAATTTATCTGTTTTCATAGGTTTTTCGGTTTTTCAAATTATTATCAAAACTATTCAGAAAATCAAAAAATAACCTCGATGCACCACTTAAATCCAAAATGCTACAAAAAAGTTTTTTTGCCGTTTTTTTATTGGAGCAAGTAGAAAAGTTACACATTAACGCAAAAAAAAAAAAAGTTGTCATTTAATAGTAAAACTAATTTATTCTTTGTTCCGCATAACATCTAAAAAAAGCACATATCATAGTAATAACAAAAGTTAACACAAAGATAATATATGTAGATAAGAAGAAAGCGTTTAAATGAGTTTCGCTTGAAATCGTTTTCCACGTTAAAATAACCGGTGCATATCGTGAAACGATCGCGTGGTTTTTTTTTGAAGGGCGTCTATGAATTTATCATTTATTAAATGTTATCGTTTGGGTGCGTATCAAATATTTTAACACGTTACTAGTTTTGTCCTCTCGAACCTTTATAAATGAACCATGATTTTTTTTTGTTCGAGTTCAACGCGGGATACAATAATATACACCTAATACCTAAATATTTATTGAAAGAGTGTCATTTTCGACATCCCCGATCAATAAATTATTTTGTTCATTATCTTATATCCGAAACAATAGTGAAAATAGTACATTATTGTTAACATCGGGTTACAACTATATTATACGCCTATATAAATATATATTCAGTTTTCAACATCAAAAATCGTTTTTAAACTTGATTGATAAATATTCCATTGTATTATACTCTGATTCGTATCGAATTAATACATGTAAAACAAAAAAACTGACCTCTTTTATTCCGTGACTATATACTGTTTATTTTTTAATCTAAAACTCGTTTGTGTTAATGTGTTCGAAAACACTAAACCTACAAAAAGTGTTTTCCATTTTCTAATACAATCATAGATTTCGTCTAAACATATTATATGCCAAAATATGTGATAATAGGTATATATCGTTCTGCAGACGTTGTGGCTAATTATTTACAAATAATCCGGGTTTTATTCAAAACAAAACATACACAAACAAACATATATTTAAATTTCTTATAGTTCTTCAATAGGATATCCTTTATAGATGTGTCTTGAAAATAAAATTTCTGAAATTTAACTACTACACTAATTCAACAAAATACTTACCTATAATCTTGTGCTGTCTATGCGTCAGGTGGTTGCTCATCATACCACATATGTGCGCTCCGAGACTGTGCCCCACGCAGTGGATGTCGTATGCCGAAGCCCCGGAATGGGTGAGGTGCGCGTAAAACTGTGCGGTGCACTGGGCCACCAACCTGGTGTTACTCAGTGACGACAGGTAACATGGGAAAAAGGTCAGCGGTTCCCAATCCACTGTGAACACGTTATAGTCCTTTCGGTTCAGGTACGCTGTGGAATAATAAAACGAGACAGAAAAGTCAATAAATGTTCTTAAAATCAAAAACAAAACTATAATATAGAATTAAATATAAGATTAAAATATAAAAGATATGTACGATACGTATAAACTGTAATTAGATCAGGTTATTGGGGTGTCAATCCGAGAATTTCTCTATGATCAGGATCGACAAACCTAATCTGATTTATTAAAGCTCGACGTATACTTATACCGACAATAATAATTTTGTTCCTGCAATTCTCCGAGATTCCTATCCCTCGTTTCATAAAGAGGAAAAGCTGAACCTATTATGGAATTGAACGAAAACTATATTTTAGACAAAATTATTATTAAAAAAAAAATACTTCGAAAAATGTACATCTACTAAAAATATAAAAATTAAACAAATACTACATTTTAATCGAAGCGAATGCGATTATTAAATAATAAATAATTCATTTTCTGTAAACGAGTTTGTAAAAATATGGGCTACTGCGATACACGAATAAGTCAATAGTTGATTTATAATAATATAGTGTAAATGTAACATTTCGATAATAACGTAATAAACGATTCTATATCATAACAAAATATATTGCATGCTGTGGATGAGCATAAGGCACCCAAATTCGTAGGGCTTATTTCCCATTCTATCAAATAAAAAATAAAAATTATGTTCTCTAAACATATTTTTGGTAGATGTACAACTAAGTATTGAATAAGCAATTATCACGACAAAAATAATATATATATATATATATATATATATATATATATATATAATGGTTCGTGATAATAGAACGAATTACATCCAGTAAATATATAGGATAAGAAAACAAGATTAAAACAAGATAAGAAAGGCCACTTAGCGAGCATACATAGTTCCCGGTTTAACATTTTGGAAAGAATTTGGTAATTTAGAATATTTTGCTCATTATGTGTAGAAAACTAAATAAATTCAATATTTTAATTTGACCATTTTTAAAATTTTTAAAATATTTTTATTTTGGCATCTATGCCACAAGATTCTGAGCGTAGCAAGTTCTACTATTATAATATAATAGGATATATTATATCCTTTTCTTTTTTTCTTTTTTCTGCGTCCGTAAAAACGTTTCAACCAGAAATCTTGCTCGAAATAAAAAATGCATAAGAGATGTATACAGATAAAAAAAGAAAACGAAATATTTGTTTTTATAATAGATAGTCCCACGTGGAACATGTTTTTATACATATAATATCATTTACAAAAGTACCATACACAGGTACCTAATATTAATAATTATAATAATTATATTAATATAATATAGGTATTGTGTAAAATATCGGTTTAGCACTGTCTCGTTTTTCCGCAGGAACAACGAAAGAACAATATAAAAATAAAATACCGACGATTCGTCTTATAGTGCGGTTCTCTATTTTCCGTCGTTGAACACGACAATTTTATCGGTAAACTAAAACGTGGCTGAGTCGTCACTCCTGTGCAACGTGAGGTCAGAAAGACGATATACCTATACCTACAGCATGTATTTTGCAAGTCACGATTATATATTGTATAATACACACGATTTCCAATTCAAAAACTTTAGAACGTAATATTATACCCTAAGAAAACCGTACACGAAATCGAAATGCACAAACTAAGACATAGATTCATCTTATAATAATATAATTACGGATGACTACGAAAATAAAAAAGCTAATACTGCTGAAGAGTGTGCCACTATATTAGGAAGGACTTTAGAAAGGAGGGTAAATAGAGCAATTAAATATTTATCCGTACGCAATGATAAAAAATTGTTTACGAAAAAGATTCTGATCAAAGTATTATTAGTCTTATTGATTTCGCTATGATGTGTTTTTTTTTCAATTAGGAGTAACGAGGGATCTATTGATTTTACTGTGTTTTTATTTCTATCTCTAAACAACTTATCGTACAGAAAACTTGCTTCATTTGATAAATTACAAGAAACCTTTTTTGTTGCATTTTGAACATAGATGCTGAGGAAGAAAGTCATGTTTTATATATTTGTCTTAACAATTAAGCAATACCAGGAAAAAACGTTGAAATAACGAGAAAATATATGGAAATTAGGTATTTTCAATTTAGGTTTTTGTCGTAATTCAGCTAAAAATATTTATAAACTTGAAATTTTTGATAAAAACTTATATTTACTTTTTTTAGACGTTTAATATTTTCAAAATATTTTTGAACTATCATTTATAAGTATTTTATATTTGCGAATTGTTCACATAGTTTTATTTATTAGGTACTATGTGGATATAACTGTTTAACTAAACAAAAAGACTTGACAATTTAACAGAAGGTTCATCTGCATTATAATTTTTACTTAGTGGTAAAAAAAATTGAGTGTTATGTAGTTTTTGATTCTATTATTGTTTTAAGATCAAATTTTTATTAAAATCGTAATTAATACTGAATTTCAAAACATGTGTACATGTTACATGTAATTGAACTTCGCTCAGAATCGTATTTCGTTAGCAATGGTTTATCATTGCTTACAGATATAAATTAAATAATTATATATATTATACCGTCCCAACTTATCACATACAACAGTGACACACTCATCAGCTCTTTTTTCCCTGATTGCTAAATTAATCCAAAAATCAACACAAATTATGCAATAAATTTCCAGTTTTTCCTATTTATAAGAAAACTACTAGAAAAATAAAAAAATTACATCCTTAATTCATCAACTAAATAATAAAAATTATAAGAAAGTTTTTATAATGGTTTTGATGGTAATAAGATTTCTGATAAAAAAGTTTTTTACGGGCACGAAAAAAAACACACACATCATAATAGAACCAATGCATTCCTCGTTTTGATAAGAATTTAAAAAAACACCAGTGAACAGTAAATCTCTATCACTGAATTTAATAAAATAAAATAACGTTAATACATTTTTGGGTTTATTATTTTCGTTTCGTCTGTAATACGCTTTGTGTAAAATAACACATCACACAATTTTGAAAAATTACTAGGAGCAGCTAACGAATGCAATAAAATAAAAATTACCACCCGCATTGCTGATTAATGGTTTCATTACGCTGCAGTAATAATGATGTATACCTAATTTTCGACAAGTTACTTCTAATACTACTGATAATAAAACCTTATATTTAAGACCGCTAGATGTACAATGTTTGTATGATTGATAGCGATTATCACTCGAACCAATTATATCTATATCGTTATTTTAAACAAAATATCAAGTAATTAGTTTTTTTAACCGCAAGTATTTTCTATTTCACCTTAGGCGAGACAATGAACTATTACTGTTGGTCTAAAGTACAGTAGCAGTACTGAAGTTATTAATCATACGGTATGGGGGGGACGAAACTAAATTTATATTTTCAAATGTATTTCTGTCAAAGTTATAATAATTTAAAAACTGTTTGAAAGTCTAGGCACTTAGTAATACTATCATGGTTATAAACCCCCTCCTCATTATCTTTAAAAATACTACAACTATGATCATTTATTTATAGTTGGAAATTTATTTATTTCAATTAAGTTACTAGGAAAAGTTATGAGTATTGATTTAAAATTGAATTTTTTGTATCCGGCTTTCAATATTTTTTTTTTCGTAATACCATATACATAGGGTATTATATTAATTTTTTTTAAATCTTCTTCCTTGTTCTTTTTAATGGGGAATGTAATCCCTCCCCCACTTCATCTGTTTGAAAGTACGATAATATGTATTATTAAAACAGCATACAGACAACAAAAATATAATATGGGTATCATAGTTGCATGCACATCATACATTATGTCAACAACCGTCACTGAAATGTTTAAAATGACTAGAGCTAAATCCAAATGCTGCAATTCTTTATGGCAACAATATTTTTACGTATGAATTTTAATAAAACCAAACGTTTTAACTAAAGTTATACTTTTTTGTTAACATTGAAACAATCATTATTACGTATAATAACTGCGCACTAACTTATATAGATAAACTGAAAATTTATATGTACATGATACTAAATGATTAAAGATCATCAGTCAATTTTATAGCAATTGCACTCATCTGCTAAAATTTGACTGCAATACCGTCTTGATTTGTATTTATAATTTAGGAAACTGGGTATACTATGACACAAAGTCCCATTGTAGTCGTAATTACAATAAAGAATAAATTATAAATATGAGGGTACATATTATTATTATACAATTTGTTGGTTAAGAGGATGTGATATGCGCATATGTTACCTCTGTCAAACTATAAATACACAATATAGCATAGTTACGTTACTTGGAACATAAATTGTCGTTTAGATCGGAATTGGAGTTTATTCTCAAATAATAACATTTAATGAACTATAAAGCTATTTCAATAATTTAAAAAGTAACTTAACTGTAACTTTTTTGTATAATCATTTTTTAAAAAAAAACTACGTACACCTCTCAAAAATATTGTATTATATTTATTCATTCAAAAGTACAAGCCGGTGGTCAATTTTAACGAAATTAAATAAGTTATATATGTATCCTCTTCATCCTTGTACCCTCTTTAAATTTTATTATGATGTATATACTTAAACTCCCATTTCAACCTAAACGCCACAATTTATGTAGGTACTAAATTATCTCTTAAAACCAACAGACAGACAGACGGATTTCGCTGTTTATATAATAATAAGTATTTATGTAGAACATATTATCATACTGACCGTTTCTAATAATTGTCATCGGGGTCTTGCTTTCCGTTCCGTTAAACCCGTGAATGATGATGACATTTCTTTTGCTGGGATCCCAACCACTGTACCGGAGTGCGTTTTTGTTCCTTACATCTATTAATTTTTTTCTTTGAGCACCGCTGTAAAAAAAAAAAAGAAAAATATATATTATTGACCATTTCTTATATACGTAGATTTGTGCAGTTTTTACGAGTAAAATCACATAATAATCGTGTACTTTCGTACTTTGTTAGCAAACCGCGCAGAGTTTTATTTGTTCATCAAATAAGACAAACATTAATTAAACGATCAGTTTTACTGTGTTCTATAATTTTATATTATGTAATTTTTCGTATATACTTCACGATTCTAAAACCGCGGTGAAATTCAAGTTTACCTGCACTGATGTTTAATGACATTAAGCATTAAGTCAATAATAAGTGCCCGTCGTTCCAGAATATAAAACATTAGATACACCAACATAAGTATATTATAGTTTTAGACGATGTATTATTTTACGTTAAATAAGTGACTGGTAAATAATTAACGATTATAAAATTAGGTGCACTTGAACGGTTTTTTTCCACCTTTCTAATAATACCTAACTACCTAATAATAATAATACATTTATATATATATATATCATTATTGATTGATGCTTTCACTCGTACATCGATAAAATAATAGTAATCGTAACTTTATATGTTTTATATTTATTTCTAAAATCTCGAAAGTTTTCGGTTGATTTTCAAATTATACCGTACCTAGTTATGCACTTATATACAATTTATACCTAATACATAATTATTTAATGAACATATTTTTTATATGCGTTTTTAATGTTCTTATATTATTACTCGAATAATGATTTTTTCGTGAAAGAATTTTTCGTTTAAAACAATGTATTCAAAATATTATGTAACTTATCTTTGAATTTAATTCCTAATCTCATAAATAATTAATTTTGGTGTAGTCGAAGAAGAATTATTATTGCAGGATGTTGAATGAAAAAAAGAAATGATTAAGGTCTATATAAAACGAAAATTGTTTTACTATGTAATTCATTTAATTATTCAACTAATTCAAGTTACTTGCAGTAAAAATTAAATTTTTGTTTCTAAACCACAAGTCTAATAAAATTAAGATCAAGTTCAATATACTAGCGAAAATTCAGTAAGCCAAATTGTTTTTAAATAGGTATATTATAAGCCCCCCAAAACATTTACTTCCCCCTCCCTCCGACTTAATATAGTGCTGGATTGATTGAATTTATTTTTCGGATATCGAATAACAAAATATTAATAGTTATAACAATATTGGCTACCCGTAAAAAATAATATAAACCGCATTACGTCGTCGCGTTAGTATAAATGGCAAAAAAAAAAAAAATAATAATAACGAAATGAAATAGAAAAGTTATAATGTTGCCTCTGTTTAGGTTTTTGTTAGTTTTTTTTCGTTTAGCGTTAGTATTATACTTATAATCTATATACCTAGTATTGAGAATATCGAATTGGAAAACGATTCATTATCCGCGTTATTTCAGGAAACTGTGATATTGTATAAGTACCTATAGTCCGTGGAATTTTTACCGACGAAAGTAATATAATATAAGTAAACAATGTCACTGTCATTTAAATCGAAATAATTGATTTGTTACACTATATTATAATATTATATATTATTTATTCGATCACAATGCCTATATATATATATATATATATATATATACAATATACAAGTGTTTATTATTGGTGTAATATATATATATATATATTGTACACGTTTCGAACCTGCAGCAATAGAGACGCGGACAGGATAGGATTTTTCGCTATTAAAAATATCCGCAACAAGTGCCCAATACAACATCAGTAACAGCAATAATGTGTAATAATCTAATAAACCGCGACAATAGAAAAATAATATTATTACTATTATTATGATCGATAACAATAAATAATACTTCTATAATGTTTACACAGTATAATAAATAAAACGGTTTTTTTGTACGTGTCACCCTCCCCCTATTGCAGATCGACCGTGTCTAAAATAAAAATGTATCGAATAAACGCGCGACAAACGTATGAATTACTTGAAGGTACCGATACATAATAAAATAATGATTGTTAAAGGTCTTTCAGCAGCACGAACAATTTTCACGGATATAAAATGAATATTAGTGTACCCGCCACTATAATACTAAGGAGGTGTTCGCACAAACGAAATGAAAAACGATAATTGAGAACTGTCGAAATCCCGTTGCTTTAATCCTGCATAATATAATGACAAAAAACTTTTTGTTTTCTATAAACCCGCTAATAAAGCTAAGCACTGTGCTATACGTATATTGTATAACGAATTAGAGTTATTGCGACTATTCGTACTGCCCTATAACAGTTTTATAATTTATTTAAAAAAACGTTCTTTTTTCACCTGAAAGAAATTAAAATCATTGTTATTGTACACGCATTTTTTTTGTTTTTATCGAATTTTATCCGAAAATACAGATTATTGCACTGAATTGCGGCGTCTATTAAATATATAAATAAATACACATATACCTATGTGTATTTATGTTTCCCTATTATTTTTACCCTTCCGAACATTTCTAACAATTCCCTCTAAAACATTTTTGTAAAAAAAGTTTTCTGTATTCAAATTGACACGCAGTTAAGTCCAGTAGACACTCTAAGTAATATTTTGCTTACTGAATGCCCACTAGAAAATAGACGGTAAATGATTGACTTATAGTTGATTTTGTAACGAAACATTATATTTTATAGAAAATATTCTCACTGGAGTAGGGGGGAATTACTGGGGAAAGTCTAAAAGTCAAGATGAAAGTTTGGTCTATTTACGCGTGGAGTTTTTTTTAGGGATAGAGAGTAGTCATCGGTGAATATTCACTAAAAAATGTCCAAATGCTCTCTGTATCAAAGGAGTTCGAACTCATAAATTGCATTATAGACGGATACAATTTTTAAGTTGGGTGGAATTATAATATGAATTTTACCTTGTCGTCGCCATTTGGTTGTGTATCGTTTTACAAACAATATATTTCTCTAATACAAAATACCCGGGGAGCTCACTTGTTTTCGCACACAATTTTCGATTTGTGTATACATAATTTCCTTTTTAAACACGGCTTTCGAAGGTAATAAATACATAAAAATAATTGAGTCGTACGATAATTATGTATTATAATATATTATACCATCTTACTTGGAATAGAGAAATATTTTAATATCCATGTCGGGACATTGGTCCGTTCTTTTCATTACGCAGCGCCAGTAATTTATGTCGAATGCGTTCTGCATTAAGCTGCATAGCGTAACTGAAAATCAATTAAATATCGTAAAATTAACATCGAAAAATACACGCATTAAACCATTTATAAATTATAATATTTTTATCAAGTTCTTTTAAAATATTGTGCTACGAAATTAGTATTATATTATTTTTCAGTTTTTCGCTTTGCAGTTAAAATATGAACAGTAAATAACGTACCGTTCTGACTTTTCCAGAAAAAAGAACTCATAATCGAAAACCTATTATTGAATTTTGTGGTTCGTACATGTTTTTTACGACCGTCATTACTCGTTTTCTTGAGGGTCAAATACAGGTACGGAACAACAAGCCAAACAAATAATAATCGACGTCTGAATACAGCAATGACTTTACTTTTGCCAGACCAAATCCGGCGAAAATTTCGATTTTAAGTATGATGTACATATATATACTCGCCCATATCGTAATAATGATATATATATTAGTATGTTACTATAATATGTACCGCAAACGGGAACGTTTTACCGTCATAATAATTATACTGCTGTACACCTAATTTACGTCCGTTTTACTGAACAGACGGTCGAAACGGTGATAGTGAGAGTATATAATATTATTATGAGCGGACGAAAAGAAAAAACCGCCGTCGTCGGTCGTCGGTATCTATATTATTATTTTTAAAACGACGATCACCGGTGCGTAAGTACGGAATCCCGCAAAACTCGTTATCACCGTGTGGGTATAGGTACACATTATTTTTGTGTATAGGTATATAATTGTACATGGTATGTACCGTGAACTAGAGCGGTACCTGTATACTTAACAAAACCGATAACTATATCGTTTTATACCGCCGCGGTCGCCCGACTTTCTTTGTCATTATAAACGAAAATAGGTATTAATAATACAATTATATTTTGATGTCAAGAACGGACACGTGGTACACGGAATATTATCCTGCTCGTATCAAATAAAAATACCAATAAAAAACTACAATAATATACACTGAAAATAGTCTGGTAGAAATGTAAACACGCATGTTCTTCGTTTTACATGTAGAACTGCGACTGAAAAATAATAAAATAAAAATCGCAAATAATTTAATTAATTCATAAGCAACTAAATATTTATTTGAATACCTCGGCACCAAAATTACTTTAAAAAAAAAACCATTTACCTATCAAAAAAAGTACCCGTAAGAATTCAAGTGGGAAATAATATTGTTGTATAGGCTTATGAAGTTATTAGGTGCACGATTACTACGTCGAAGAAAATGACAAAACAATTACATACGAACTTCATACAACCGGTAATGTTGTACAAATATAAATCGACCTTTGAAGAAAATAAACAAAAATAAAATCTTGATACTTAATAGGAAAATACTGTAAAATATTGTTGGACCAGTAAGGCATGATTGTACAGATGGCAAATGCGCACAAATGATTCGCTAATACTTTTGATTACCTCCAAAATACATCTTAGAAATACTGCAAGATTTACAATTTAGAAATATTCGAAACAGTTCTATTGAATGTTTAAGTATTATACAAATTTCATTAGCAATCATTTCCAGCTTTCCACAATAACTCAATGGTACAGGGTATAAAGATAGTAACATCGATTATTTTCAGAAAACCGTTTCGAAAAACACACGAGTACCTAAAAAATTGAACGAATTATTTCGATTATTTCGCCGAACGCAATAAATTCTTATAGTATAATCTCATATAGGAAATTAATAGTGGTTTACAAATTATTGAATTTTTAAGGAGCCAAATAAATTTTATCCGCATAAAAATAGTAGGACATTTCAAATAGCTTCATAAATAAATCAATAAATCAAAAAAACAGAATATTTTTGAAATTATATACCACGCCTAGACAATTTTAGGTATTTTATCTCTATTATTTAAGCTAAAAAAAAAACGACCCAAGCTTGGAGTCCAGGTCTTACAGTTATCATGTACCACGGCGAAATAACGATTTTTTTTTTTAGTTCCGTATACAATATATAATTATAATATACTGTATAGGTATATTGGTGTCGAAAATCACGAACCAGTTTATAATAAAATTTAATAAAAAATAATTGTGGTTAGAAAAATATTTCGGGGTTTTTCAACGTGCGAAGACGTCTCAAAACCATAATATTAGCCTGCATAGCTATATCATTACATTATAATATATAGTAGGTATTTGATACGGGATATAAAATAAATCTCATCGCATAAAGCGTGATCGGGTAAAGCTAAAAATTCTCAGGAGGAGAGGGAGGTTGTTTTTAAAAACATCGTCTCTTCGCCGATGACCCGATTCGGCTGTCGGGACGATGCCGGAAAACAGTACCTATAACGTATATAACATTGTATTATAGCGAAGTGAACGTTTATATATTCGTAAAGCACGTGCGGAGAAAACATGTTTTGTGCCCTTTGGGCTGGCGAGCAAATTTTTTCGTTTTCTTCGGCACGACCACGACTGGAGTGAAACTGAACCGGTCTTATAAATATAAAAAAAAAAAAAAATACAAAATACAAATATCTACGTATACGAGTATAGTTATATGTACAGGTATATCCGTTTGACCGAAAACCAGCCGTATCATCATATTATATATTGATATATACGCGATTATAATCCGTCGCTTTTTTAAAGACCCCGCGTAACCTTGACCAGGTATATATACTATATACCTATATACCTATATATTTATATAGGTGAACTGCGTAGTCCTTTGACCTTTATATTTTCGGTGACCACCGTCGGTCGTATATTATATTATAATATTAACGTTATGTGGTCGATACAAAAAAAAAAAAAACAAATCCGTACTGTTAAATCATTGCTTTAGGAAGAAAATAGAAAAAATAAAATATATTAGAACAAAGTAATTCAATTCATATCTGTATTCAACAAAAAACCATAGCGAACGAAAAACGATTCTGAGTAGAATGTATTATTAGTCGTATTTATTCCCTTGTTGCTAAAGTAATCCAGAAATTAACAAAAATTATACAAAATATTGTCAGATTTTCCTATTTATTAAAAGAATTTCAGGGAAAATCAAAAAATTACCTAATCATCCGATTAGATAAAAAAAACTACAAAATCGTATACATTTTTTGATTAGAGTAAGATTCCTAGAAGAAACACATAGACGCTTTGTTTACAATCTAATATAAATATTTTACAGACGTAAGTATTTCCACTTTTTGCTCCACTGCAGTAATACAAAACGACTATATCCCATGTCTTCCGAAGTCTCCTCGATTAAAGCCGTCATAGTATCTATACATATATCTACACATATAGTATATATGTATAGTTCTCCAAGTTCTTCGATTTCCTTAGACTCCGTGGGATATCCTATCATTTCCGTGGCTTAAACTAATGCCACCCGAGTGGCATCTGTTTGGAAACAATGAATTAATACAGGAGATGCTATGATTTTCACAAACATTTCATATAAAAAAAAACAAATAAAAACGTAACCCTCAAGAAGAGGATATTCTTTAAAAATAGTATAGTTGAAAACAATAGTGTTCGCAAAACACCGAAGCACCAAGCACATCGATTCTTGGATCGATACTACTGTTTGTATTTCTGACAACGAAGTGAAATTTAAGTATTAAATCCTAATCGCTTAGAGCAGTATAAAACTATATAATATGTTATAGGTTATAACAATAGAACAAACTCAAGTCGTAGTCAATGGTCATCGTCCGATAAACATTTAAAGTGACGTTGATAAATGCATAGTAGAATCCTTAAAAAGCTTTCTCCGAACAGATATTTAAATAGACAAAAAAAAATACTAAATGTAGGAACTTTCGTTACAGCTGTTGATGATTTTTACAGAAACAAACAATTTTTAATAAATCGAATTGTTAGTTAATTTTTTTTTTAGATTCTGAGCGCAGTGAGGAATGTATTATGCTTATTCACTCGAATGTGTGATTTTTTTTTTTTTAAAAAACTTTTCAACCAAAAATCTTGCCTTGATTTTCAAGTGCAGTATCTTTTCTGAAAGAAAATTTTGTTTAGTTGGTACTCTGCGGAAGTTCTTTATTCGAACTTGCCTCAGAATAGTTTGTCGTTAGCAAATATTTATTGTACAGTGTACAGGCACAGATATAAATTGAATTACTCTACATATCTACCTTCTAAATTCTTTTCTATAATCGATTATTCGAAATCGTTAATACGTACATTTGTTGTCCTTTCGTAATATTAAAACAATCATTTCGAATCCTTCAAAATCGTTATGGCCATTAAATTACCCATTTATTTTCTTCATGGTTATCTGTTACTGTTGAAAGTTTAAATATTGTTTAATTTGTTGAATTTATAACTGATTTTTAAACTATTAGTTAGTTATTTCGTAATTGTTTAACTTTCATATTGTCAAAATAAAATTAGAGACTCCCGCAAGATGAGCACCGCAAATAGAAATTTTGTAATTAACAATCGAGATACAATTATGGAGGTTCCGTAATTTAATCAACACAACGTAAGTTGATTCAAAACAATCGACTCGTTTTAGATAAAAAAAATAACGAGAGAATTTATAATAGTATAATATTGAAAACAAAAAAGCTCTGTTGATTTTAGATTTCCACATGTTTTTTTTATGTCTACAATGTAAAGACAGATAAAAAAGCTGATACTGATCACGGATAGATTACTTCTGTAGGTGGGTAGTTGTGAAGGTAGTATACATAGAATAATTTAGTTTATATATATATATACTATGCACAACGATAAATCATTGCAAACAAAAGTAATTCTGAACGGAGTAGTATTTATCGTGTTTTTGTCTTGTAGCCAAATTAAACCAGAAACCAACAAGAATAAAACAAATGTACCGATATTTGTTGTTAGTTTTTTTGTAAATTTAACAGAGAAGAGAGCTTTTGGGAATTTATAGACATTGCAGAAATTCCGCATCTTTTAAGATAAAACATGAAAATCTCGGAGCATGTAATAAAAACACATGTCTTAGTAAAACTAATAGCTTTTCGCTACACTAAGAATTTAAAAATCTGTACGAGTTTTATTAGTGAAAAGTAATGTTTGTCGCAACGATATTAATAAGTCGATCGCGTTATGTGGTAAGATTTTCACGACAGCAGGACGCGATATTTTTGATTATGTAAACATATTATAAAAATTCTTGATAACGATAATATATATTGAAATTTCGCCTAGTGTACGGAGAGAACAGTTTCACCGCAAAACTGATGCGACACAATAATAATCGTACCGAGGATCTATAATAAATAATAATATAACAATGTGAAATCGCAACAGATCGGTGTGATAACTAATAACCATATACATATAGGTAAGTACGCGTTTAAGTATAATATACACATCGAATTACAATAATTTTTTACATATCATTATACCTTGTATGGTTGAGTTTGTCGATAACACAGCGCGCTTCACGATCGTAATTTCAAATATTGTTGGGTACTTACATTATAATATTTGCATACATCATTTTAATCTTAATCCTAATTTTCACAGACGCGAATTATGTTATCGTACGGTACGATTGGTTATGGCTCAGTGCGTTCCCAGCGATTTCTTTCGAATTGCATCTATTTTTTTTTTTTTTTTGGCCAATTATATCGTTTGGTAGATTTCTGGAAATTATAATGGTGTTCATAATATATTGTACATAGGTACTTCTATGCAAAAATAAGTATTCGTATAACCTACCCTTTGTAGTGAATATTAGAAATTGTAATAGCTTTTAAGTGTATTAGGTGTGCAGACCATTTCTTATAGTGAATATTCACCGCGTGTCCATTTATCTTATATAATAAAAGCTTCAAGAATTAAAAGACCCAATTTCAAAGATTATTTCAATGAGCACATTATGCAAAATCGTTATCTGTATTTGATTAGACTTTCAATTTTTTAAAACGTAAAACAAAACTTCATAAAATATGGCCCGAATACTCTTATATTTTTGTTACGCTATATTGTAAAACGTATGGAAAAAAATAATTTCATTCATACGTATAATCTGAGAGTAAACATAGTAATCAAAATCAATTTTCGTATTACAACATGAATGAAAAAAGAATACACAGTACAAACATATACAATTTTATTCTTATTCTTATTCTTCTTCAGTTTTTAAAGGTCATTGTGGCTCATTACTGGAATACATACCTTTGTCTATTAATTTAGCTTTTTGAACTACCCAGTGGTATTTTTCCGTATTATTACATCAGATCTCTGAAACTATACGTGATGACTATCCCATGCAACCATCTGCATTATATATCCGCATTACCCCGTATTTCATGTTGTTAAGTGAAATCATCCTTTTTTTGACAGAGACTTATTTACATTTTTGACGCTCTGGAGCACTAAACTTTTTATAAGAAAGTTTATTCACAATACACTGGAATTTCGAGCTGCACGCTTTAGATTTTGTACTGCACATTTTGTACTCCAAAATATACTATTTTAAACTCTGATCAACGAGTGTAAACTGTGAGTTGGGATTAATATTTAAAAAAGTCTAATAGTAGTTTAATATAGTGAAATATAGTGCCCGGGTCAATGTCTCCACAGCCCCCTAAATACATTCTTGTTTTTGTGGTCCATATGTTCTCTCCGTGGTAATCTTCTTTCGAAGAATGTTATTTTTTTCGTTTCCTTTATGTAGTTGTCTAGTTTGTATAATATTGCTATTTATAGGATTTCATCTGCAGAACAAGAATATGAAAAATTTAAGAATAAAATGGCTTTCCTATTATCGCAATAGGGAAATCGCACGCACCATATACAAGAAATAATAAATACGTTGACGAAAATAATATAATATAATAAAACAATTGGAACCGTATCGCATTAATCCAAAGTAAGTATAGGTATCGAAAATTATTAAACTATACACCATACACGGGGCCATATAATGAAATTATGACGTTATTATTTTAATATCTCATACATAACATTTTTATCGTAACGTATATTGTCGTTTATAACTAAAAGACCGTGCGTACCAGTAGGTATATAATTCTGCAACGGGGGAACTAATTTTGTTTCCTGTATATGTATACTGCCTACCTCTATATTCGATACGAATAGAAATATTATCAACGCGTTACCCGTATACGAGAAATAATATAATAATTGGCCATAATCAAAACACGCGAAGTTCTAAAATGCACATATACCTATGCGATTCGTTACTGTGTGTCTCAGCTGTATAATATACGCGTGTCCGTTTCGGGTCAAGGTCGTTACCTATATATTATATTAAATACCGTAAAGAATATATCGATATTATAATACTGCTACTATATGTGAATAATTTTTGTGTTTTTTTTTTTTTACAATAAATTTAAACGGTTCGATTTTTTTATTTGTAACGGGTGCAACGAATATAATAATAATATTCGGCATGCTAAACGCAAATACGCGCAAGCGTATCGTATCAAAATATTATTAATATACTGTTGTTTCATTCTCGTGCATTATTATTGTCATTCGCATACCATGATATAAAATATTCGCGTTTGTCATTTATTTGACCATTTAAAAAAAATAAAAGTACCCTAATAAGGTACTCTTATCTAGTCGAAATGAAATCAACCCCGGAGTGAGGGTAGCCAGATTATTTTTTAAAAAGGTTTTCTGTGTCTAATTGGATACATAGTGACGTCCATTGGACACTAAAGTGCCTTTTAATCCACAGATTACAATTTTGATTACTGTGTGTTCACTATAGAAAATAAACGGTAAATTATTGAATTGGACGATTTTGTAATTTTTACATATACAACATTCACTGGAAGAGGTAGAGGTGACTAGAGAAAGTCCAAAAGTTCAGGAGAAGGATGTTGTGAGGAGACACGTCCCCTTAGCTCACGCGTACGTAAAGGTATCATTTACGTACACTTATGAAATAATCGTTTATCGTGTAGTACAAAAATTCGCGTTCATATTATACTCGTAATTTACAAAAAGAGGGTACCTACATATTTTTCATGTTATTCGAGTGTGGCCCTGAAGCCCTCTGGGTCCTCTTTAAATCGGTCCTGTATATTATTATATTTCAATTGTTAAGACGATATAACTACCAGTATAAAAAAATTAATAATATTTCGATTTAGAAGAGCGCAACATTTACATAATGATTTAACAATAATAATATGGTTTGTTCTAGGTATTTCTCTAGAGTATATTGTGAAAAAAAAAATGAAAACGGTTAGTAATAATATTTCAAGTTTCACGTGTAGATTAGGTTCGTGCATACAGTTGATTAGTTAACCCAATAAGGAAAAGATTATATATTTTCAGTAAACCTTTAGGACTGAGTAATTCATTAAGCTCAAACATAGAAATGTTCATCAAAAATAAATTTCCTCAATTATTGATACTTATATTCAAAATGTATAATGCATATAGCATATGATATGATATGAATACGTCGTAATGATTATAGTCATTTTATAGTGACATAAATAATATATTAATTTATCACAAATTCAGCGGATTAGGACATTCAGTAAATATTATACTATAAAAAATACTAATTGCTACTTATTTTAAAAGAATCAACTGTAGAAAACTGTAAATGCAAATGCAAATTAATGTTTAAAAAACTAGTTTAAGAAATATTATATATGACATTTCATATATGTTTAAACGTTAAATACATAAATAGTGTACATAATATTGTAGAAGATTTCATATTCTTGTTACAACTTTCTTTGTACAAACTATATATATATATTTTTTTTTTGTCAGCAAACAATTTTTATCATAAATTATACCAATATTCAATGTGTAAAAAAAAATAACGAAACTAATAATACGCATAAAGACAATATAGGTACTGAGCATTACTCTAGATTTAATTATCTAAAACTTAATTTGAACTTTCAACGCCTAACAAACAATAAATGGAAAACATACAGTACATATCTATAATACAAGAACAATTTTAATTATTTTTTGAATATTATTATTTTAAGAGCCATAATTATAAATATTTTTCATGTATTTAAATAAATATAATATAATACTGCTATGGTCGAAATTGCAAGTCTACAAGGAAGAAAATTAAAAAAATAACCATCACCTAGACTGTATTTTAGTTTAATTAAGAATATCTTATTCTAAAACTGGTTGCGGTTAACGGATATAGCTAAGTACCAAAAAATTATGAACCGTTACTTTTTTAATTGGTTAACTCGAAAATAATACGTTATACTGAGAGGCCTTTATTTTAATTTGAAATAATATGTACATGTAAACGACGACTATAGCAATCTTACTCTTCGAAAAAAACTGCTGGGAAGTTTATTATTATAACATACACATTTCATAATACCGTCAATGATGAGCATCGTGGTCGTTCAGGTACTATTGAGATATCTTTGGTTTCCGAAAAGAAGATCATTGACAATCTCTGATATTTTTTTTTTTATAATTGTTCTTATGTAATTTGTTTCTTTTATTTTTTTTCCAAGTAGCATAAATGTATTTATTTTATCAAGTTAGTGTGTGTAGTATATTAGTGTAGTTACCAGTGTATTTTCAAAATTTAATACGATTATATTGAAAACTTTATAAAATTAACTTAAATTTACTTCTTCTCTGGGACCAAAGATATATTGGTCGAATTTCGTTTACGAGAAAAAGAAAATAAATCCGGTTAGTTGCGGCAAAGATTATCTATACCTAGTGAGGAATAACCGACGAGGGAATGCTCGATATTATTATTATTTTTGTAGTTGTGATTTTTCGAAACATTCTTGTTCCCCGACCAAAATGCCTGTCCATAACTTTGTCTTATACCCTCTACCAGAAACTTTAGCAGCAGATCTGATTTGGAAATCGGTGAACACGATTTCATTGCTGTCGTGAAATTTTTAACCTATCGTGGGCTCGAATTTTTCGTAAAAATTTTAACGGCGAAAACAATAAGTACTGCAAAACATCGTAGTATCATCGTAGTACCACGTCGTCATTTGGTCGTTGCTGCGACCAAGACGTCCAAAACACATTTTATGCGCATGTAAAGAGTAAAGTAAGTACGCCGTTCGAAAAATGTCATATTTTTATTGTTTCGCTGTAATAATACACTATATAATATAATATAGGAAATAATGTAATTGCATTTAATAAAAAAATACGTTGTATAAATATTCACGGTCAATTCAATTTTTCAATGCCGCAGCATCGTACAACCATCTAATTTATATTTTGACACTTTGATTAACACGCGCGATGCCTACATATTTCATACAGCGTTCTATGTAAGAGTAAAATAGGAATTTTGTAATGAAAATTGAACCGTTTTACTAATTATAGTAATTTACGCGGGTATTAATTGAAAAAAGTTTAATTCTACTGATGGGTATGCCACTGTTTTAGCAGGAAAGTTGGAATAGAAAATATACTATATAGAGTAATTTAACATGTATCTGTACACAACGATAAACCGTTGCTAACGAAAAATAATTCTAATCAAGAGTATTATTAATCGTACTTTTCCACTTTAATTACCAAGATAGAAATCAACAAAAATTGCCACTTTTTTCCCGTTTATTAAGATTTATTAAGACGTCTAATCAATACACGGTCTTTCCAAAAAACCGATTAGATAAAAAGTGCTACAAAAAATGTTCAATACAATTTTTAATTGGAAAAAAAGTTATTAACAGACACAAAAAAAATACATCAAAATAAAACCAATACCTATTAGTATATTTCTCACTTCAATCAAAATGTAAAATATAATATCTTATTTTTACTTTTTAAATTAAAGTTACTATATTATTATAGCACGCGCCTGCAATGACTTATATGGAAATATTGTATATTTTTCGTCATTACCTGGTATAAAAGCGAATAAGATGAAAAACGTTAAAACGTCTCTCGTTCCTCGAGGATGGCATTTCATTTTCAGTATTTCGTTGAAGATGATGATTATGTTCTAATATTATAGCACGTTTAATCTCAGAAGCCATTTATGACTTAAACGCGCCGGAAAACGTCGGATTTGTTTTGTTCATTTGACATCCCGCAGTCGAACACGATTTATGTCGTTCTATATGTCGTTATATACACAACGGAATCAAAAAAAAAAAAAAAAAAAAATGTTTAATAATTCTTAATATAATCTTATTACAATAATAAATCGAGTCGAAAACAACAGGTATAGGTTATTTACCTTAAAATAAAAATAAAATATGTATTCGCGAACTCGCGCTACCGAATCCACAACATCGACTGATTTCGAGACGATTTGTCGATATTTGTTTCGTACTAAATTATAAATAACGTGCCGGTAATATCGAAATAGAACAAAAAAATTTGAATTTACAAATATTACGGACTGGGTAGGCGAACGAAAAATGACCGCACGTATCTGGTCCGCGGACTGGCGTTAAAATAATACGCTCGCGTCGTACACGACTCCGCAGTATTCTCGGCAGCGAACTCCGCGCGGTTTTGTAAAAGTAAAATATTTTTTTTTTTCGTGCTGTCGCGACGACGACTTCGACTGTGACTGTCGGTAATCGCCGCTGCAGTCTGCCGGTCGCCGGCAACGGGTTATTCTGGTCGCGGTTTATGTACCTAGGTCTTGGTCAAAGATTTTCTTGCTCGCGCACTTGAACGCGGTTACCGGAGCGCGCACGATCGCTCGCATATCGCCAACAAGATCACAGCCTATCATCATATCTATCCTATACATGTAATATAATATACCGCGGAATGACAGTAGGTACTCGTACGAAAAAACCTCGACGGTAATTTGGAGAGACCTATCTCGTATTATATTTTAATTGTTCGTTACCTAGGTATATTATATATTTAAAGAGACCGGATTTTCATGACACGTTTAAAATGCTAAGAACGCGCGATACTAGAAATATAAATTATTTACTTAACTGGAAATCGTAAAAGAAATTAAAATGTATTTTTAAAAATGCACTTAAAGGATTTTATTTTTCACTCATAACGAAGACAATTAAAATTCAAAAAAAAATTCCAACCTATCTTATATAGTAAAGTATTTTAATACGTTTTTAAAATTTAAATCTGGCAAACGCAATTCATGCAGTTTTTTCTATCCTTCTAATCTAAAATGCCATACTCGTCCGTAAAAACGCGGTTGTGCTTTTCTCTTCCTTTTAAATTCGTATTAGACATTAACTTAGAGGAAAAGTCTTATTATTTTAGTGCCCATTGATATGTTAAAAACAAAATTTTGAATTCTACAAAATCGGAAAATATTTGAAAAACCACCACTATAATCCCTTTAGTTAATTTGAATTATTGAAAAACATTTACTTACGATAGTAACACCTGTGCAGCAGTGGTCGCTCGTCAAATGAAACGAACGAGGCGATGCTAATTGCAATAATATACCTAATTAGTTTATTATAAATTGACATGTTCCAAAATCTTAAAATTAATTTCAAAATATAGTGTTGATCGGTTTCAGAAATATACCTACAATTTATAGTTATGCTAAATGTTTTCAAATGTTCAAAATAAACCTCACCTCCATTTCAAAATTACTAAAGGACTATTTTTTAAACTCCCGATTTATTCCTATTACAAATAAATTGAAGTTATTTGAGGAGTCCTAAACAAGACTTGAGCGAATTGTTCCATCTCGTATGTATGGGGGAACAAAAAAGAAGAAGGTATGTAACATAGGATTAAGTGCTGAAAAGCATTAGGTGTTTTATGTGACAAGTGAATTCCAATGACATTTAAATGTAAGTTCTGCATGATTGTGGTAAAATGTTGCATGCTTTGAAGTGGGACTGGGTGATAGATAGAAAAATAAAACAGAGAAATGTGAATACTTAACTGAATGAGTGGCGTGATGAGAGAAGATAGGATAAAGAATGTATTAACATGGCATACATGACATGTAGCATAGGCGGGGCTTCGATAGTATAAAAATGAAAGGAAATAGACTAAGATAATTTGGGCATGTTATGAGAAGTGAGGAATCGGAAACGGTAATAATGGTAATGAAAATAAACGTAAGTAAACGACAGTCGGTGTATGTGAGATGGAAGATCGCTGTAAGTAGTAGTTTATTATGAGGGTAGAAGACCTCATATAGCTGAGACCCATAGGCACAATATGGGGGGGGAGCCGGGGAGGGGGGACTTAGGCACCCTAGTTTAATTAAAGCCCCCCCAATTTTTTAAATAATACATTCATTCTTAAATCCATAATCAGTACATAAATAATAAAATTAATTTTGGGGTTTTTAGCCAACTCGGTAGTCAGTGTACAAGCATGTTGTCTAATAAATTAAAAGTTTATAACACAGGTTAAATAATTAAATTTACTAGTATATATAATCTATTGTAATAATTAATATCAATTAACCGAAATATAGAATGTATAATCAATTATTATTATTAACATTAGAATTTAAAATCAATGATAATATTATGATACATCGTTGTATAATGTATAAAGTATAACAGCTTGAGTATAGATTGTCTAATCTGTTTCATAGTATGTGCCTACAGTAACACGGGTATAAATATTATTTATATTAACTATTTTTAGAATACAGAATTTACCGACATATTGCCATTATGTTATTATGACTTCTTATCGAAATTCCGTGGCAACGCTGAACGTAACGCGACGTTATTGTCTTTCTTAACTCTCAGAAACGGTGTATTCTTTCTCTTAATCCGAATTCGTTTTAGACTTTAGTTACAATTACCAGACTACAATTCTAATGTTTTATTCTTTATAGTTTATAAAGAGTATATTATTATTTTGATATACCAAAAACAACTTTATTTCTACGTGTGGCAAACGCCTTTTTTTACTCAATATTGCTACTTGTTAGTTGTTTTATAAAATTAAATATTATTAATAAATAAAATGTTTAGCATTTTTAATTTAAAAACAAATAAAAATAAAACACTTAGTAATTTTGATTCCTTAAATTCTAAACCATCTAAAATATATAAAAAAAAATAATAATAACGAATTTAATGATTCAGCCGTTGTGTGTCATATTCAAAATGAACAAAATTGTTCTTCAGAAAATACTTTGGAAACTAATAACCTGGTCAAATAAATTCTAGTCCAGCAAGACCAAAATTAAAGTTATGATTTTTGTTTAATCGTTTTAGTTTTATATTTATTTATTTATTACATCAAATACCAACTTAGTACAGTGTGATAATTAACACCTATAGACTGTATACAATAGGTGCAATACAATATTGTAAACTTTAAAATTGTATATAGTCCAACGCTAGTCTATATAATACAGTTTAAGTTATCTATTCGATATCTCTGGTCTATTTTAAAACTCGTTTTGGCCAACAAAAAAGATCGTTTTCATCTTCATTATACAGTTCTTTTCAATGGCTTGAATACAATTTGAAAAAGATGCATTTTTTTCCTATACCTGTCGAGTTTTTGGAACTGGACATTTACAAGACAGCTTTGTATCTACTGGATTTAGAAATTGAAAAAGGTAATTCAATTTTTTATCATCAATTATTCTAATAAATATATTTATTTTAATTGATATTTGTTGTGTTTTGTACTTATATATCATTTTGTTAAGAAATTTAAACTATTTTCTTAATAAACTTATGTTTATAGATTAGTGGCTCAAGTGGATTAAATTCTAAATTTAAATTGGAATTGCATGCCAAAACTATTCAATTTTTCACTAATTCAACAAAATGGGTTTCTTATACAGAAAGTTTCAAGTCAGGATCTGTACACCCAATTATGGCTAGTGCAAATCGACAACAATTAATGAAAAATAAAGCTTATATAAAGCATTTAATGGATATAATTTTGTATTTAGGGCGCCAAGGTCTAGCATTTCGAGGACATGATGAGGAAAAAACTTCACTAAATCAAAGTAGTTTGCTCATTGTATAAAACATATTCTTTAAACATATAACATTTATAAATATTTAAAACTTGATTAAATTTTTTAGGGAATTTTAAAGAAGCTTATGTATTATAATTAAAATGCAATGAAGATTTTGCTACTATGTTTAATAAAAAAACTATAAAAAATAAAACTACACTAGTTGGTCATACAAAATGACTTATTAAATATAAGTGCTCAAATGATAATAGGTACGTACCATCATTAATGAAATTTATGAATGTGGTTTTTTTCATATCTGATGAAGCAAGGTACTAACTAATATTAAGTTGAATATGTAATTACTTACTAAAAGTGTATGTTATTTAATATTATTGCTTCATTAGATTTTACAGGGAAGAATAAATAACAATATGAGTGTGTTATACTAAAGATCTTATAGTATATGAAAGATTGTTAAGGTTTATTAACATATTTCAAAAGCAGGATGCTAATGCTTTGTCAACTGCGATATTATATATTTATTTAAAACAAATAAAATGAATTTACCAATTATAACATAGGCATATGATGGTGCCAGTGTAATGGCAGGTAAATGTAATGGTGTGTAGAAAAAAATTAAAGGTGAATATCCATATGTTATCTATACCCATTATATGGCCCATCAAATTAACTTGACATGTGTAAATTTGTAAAAGTATGTATCAAAAAGTAATTTAATATCAAAAAATTATCATTTACATTGTATTGATTTATATTAGGAAACTTAAACTTTAATTAGGAAACTCTTATAGTTTTTAACTGTCTGGAATCATTATATTTTACTTATCCCACCTTTCCAATAATATATAGTTTAATGAAATGCAAGAAAAACTGAGTATTAAGAAAACATTAACCTGACTTAGTGACACCGTTTGAATTGTTGTGTTAAAAATTGTATAGCTGTTAAATCAAATTTTAAAGCTATTATTATAGTATTGAATAATAAAATTGAAAGTTGTGATAATAAACATGTTTTACAAGCAATAGGTTAGAAAAATAATATTATATATTAATAAAAATAATAATTTTTTTTAAATTTTTAAACCTATTTTATATTCACACTTTCTTACAAATATTGTGTTTTTCAAATATTTTATCTATTATCTAGAAACCATTTTTTATTCATCTAATAATAGTAGAAGACATGTTACAAATTATTAATGTTTTAAATACTAAGCTTCAAAATAAAGGTGCAACACTAAGAAGTGCTGTTAATTTAATTGAAGAAATAATAAAGACTTGAGTCATTATCAGCATAAACTGAATTTCAGAATATCTGAAATAAAACTATTGATTTTGCTGAGTAATAATCTAGACCGTTTCATTACTGGTAAATATATCAGATTATATATTAAATCAAGGAGTTTTTACCTCACAGAAATTGTGTACACCAGATTACTGATTTCAACGATTAATTTTCATTTCCAAAGATTCCATGAATACCTATGATTACTAACTCTTTGTACACTGATTACCACTAGGTGTTTACCACTCATATTAAACATACACCTGACTATTTTATATATGTTATTATTTAATTTAAAGGTCATTATGCAAAAGGCCAAAAAGAGCAGCCAAAAAACTTAAATGATTTTCATGTTTTTACAAGCATGGATTCTGGACCTTAGAATGTGAATGAATCAAATCAAATTACAAATATTTATCGAAAGAGTTGCACTGATTATTATCAAGTTATAGACTGTATTGTTATTAACATAAAAAAAACATTTTCACCCGAAAGTTTAAGAATCAATAAATAAAAATCATCAATTGATAGTTTTCATAAAATTAATTACGATGAGAGTAAATATTTCATCGAACATTATAAAGTGAATATTTTATTGTTTAAGATTGAATTTATATTTGTTACATTTAGATAAATGTACTATTGTTTTATTTTTAGGGTCTTGTAAATTTGGATGTAGATGCTCTTCGTTCAGAATTGTTGATTGCAAAAAACTGTCGTACACGTACAAAATTGAATTTTGATTTAGAGGAACTAAAATTAGTTTTGGATTTAAAAATATATCCAAATTTATATATTTTTCTGTGTTAGTTTTATAAATTTAGCTCCCCCCAAAAAAAACAATTGTTCAAATTGTGCCTATGACTGGGACGTAGGCAAAGGAGAAGAAGATTTACGAAGTACCATCAAAGTTCCCCGTTTCAAAATCGGTTAATATTATACTGTACCTAGTCAATATGCAATGTAATCAGTTTCTACTGCAGTTTTAAAAATATATATTATAAATTGTTGATATTTGTAGTTTTACTATATATTATTGTATTCATTAGGTATATGTTCTCTCAATTCTTTGGTGTACTTAGTGTATTTAGAGTTTAAAAAATAAATTAAACCCGGCAAGCTAGATAAATCTTGAAAATATATGAGAGTATGTAATAAAAAAATAATAAAAACAGTTTTCACTTTTTCTTTTTATCTAAGTAAATAATTATCATTAGGTAAACTTTTATCATGTGTATCACATATTTGTTTATTCCACATGTACAATTATACATGCAATTTCATACAGCTTTTTAACTATACACTAAACCACTAGAGTGACCATAAAATAAAATAAAAATCGGAATTTGTTTAAAAATAAACAAAGTAGTAAACATGATATAAGATGTAAGTATAATGTATAACAACTCTTAAGAAAACCTAACTATAATTATTATAATTTACAAAAAAAAAATTTAATTGAGCTATATAATGGTTTTTGAATATATAAAAATAAAATATGTATACTCAAAGACAATTTTATTTTCATGATGGTGGTTGATCAATTTCTTCTTTTGCTGTTGTTTTATACACTTTTGTGCTGAATTAATTGTATCTAGTATAATTTAATTATTGTCTTAATAAATTGTATTAATATTCTCTTTTAATAAAATATTGTAAAACTTATTACAAGATTCGTTTTTAAAATGTGCTCATTACTATTGTTATATACCGTACGTATAATATACAATGTACTTGTTAGAATAGTCAAAACTACTAACCACTAATACCATTGTAAAGTAGATTTTATTGAATAATGTTATAAAGACATCAAAAAAATGCATTAACAGTAAGGGGAAAAACAGGATTAATACGAGACAGACTTGAAAAAACAGGACAAAATGCATACCGTATAACTTTTATCGGAACAACAGGACAATCCCATATAATACAGTACGAATAGTCACCCTAATATACACATTACACATGTATACATGATATATAATATAACTATAATATTTATTTATAGATATCAAAATATATTATAAAATAAATTATTTTATTATTGATGTTAAAATATTTAAAAGAGAATTTTTGATTTTTTATTGTCAATGTTTCTTTGTCTTTTATAATATGTGCAACATTCGCATATAATTTTATTATTTATTTTTCAAAAATTATGTTACCTAATAAAAATTTATAAATTGAATAGGTATCAATTGTAGTATTATTATAGCTACTATAATAATATTCCAATTTGAGAATGTTTTATTCATATAGGTACACATATTTAAACAAACATCACAAATTCACTCACGATCTGCTCTGAAATAATATGAAAATCAAAATAACTTTTGATTAGTTATATGTAATTTTCAAATAAATAATAATCATGAAAATAGGTCAGGTCAATGCGGCATTCAACCGAAAAAAAAATCTCTTTATCATGAAAAATGATAATCTATAAACCAGAAAAACCATACTAAAAACATCCTATGTGGATGTGAAAGTTGGACTATTTGAAAAGAAAAGAGGAGACAAATACAAGGGTGTTCAAAATGTGGTGCTGCTGTTAGATGCAACTTATAGGGTCACTAATAATGAAATTTTGGAAAAAAGATCATTGTATAAAAATATCAAAAAAATCAAAATTAATGTTTATTTCATATTCTTCGATATAGGAGGTTGTTAGGTCTAGTCTTGAAAAGAATGATATAGAAGAGAAAAACGACAGAGAAATACCACAATTACAGTACATAGACCAGATAATGGAAAAACAAAGATTATATAATTCATACCAGGAAATGAAGATTAAAGCTAATGTGGCAGAGAAGTATGGGAATCGCAAGATAAATCATTTTAATTAGGTAAAACTGTTTTATTTTCTATGTACGCGTTAATGCAATTAAAAAAAAAATAAACCATACAACAATTTGTTTGTACATGGGTAGACACGAAAAATTAATATTATTACATTACGTACCTAGTTAAATTTAGTTTTAATACATTGTGTATGTTTGTTTTACATCATTTCTCTAAAAATACAAAAATGTACAGTGTACATTGTACACACTAATCCGTTAAACAATATCATAATCTTCGCATCGTTAAATCTATGTCTACGGATGAAAGTAAAACTGATTTCTATTCACTGAATCCGCCGCTGACTGAATATTTTGTATTTTTTTTTACCCTCAACAGAATTCAGCATAATCGTCCGTATTGATCAAACTGAGAATCAACTTACATACAGATTAGGCGTATGCATATCATGATCCAATAAACTGAAAATCCCAATGTTACCATTAATATAAAGGAATATTGTTTTTACTTATAATAATACGTTCATGTTAGTGTACAGGGTGTTTCAGAATTAAATAACACTCTGGTTATATAATCTGATATGTAATGTGAACAATTAGTTAAAACACTTTTCACATATTTTTACATCACCCATATGACATGCAAACTTTTTCAGAACTATAAAAAAATAACGTTTACCGTGAGATTTGTAACGGATATTCTATCTTATAAAAAATTTAAATGACAGAAGTACTCGTTCGAGGATTTTTGACTGGAGCGAAGTGCACAAAAACATGTTTAAATTATTAATTACATCGTATAAATCATATACGTTCGATGTATAATCGAACAAAATTAGAGACCGCCGAGAATTCGATGTTTTCCCAGATTCGTTAATTTTTTAAACTACTAATTATACTTTTTTCCTGATAATACAGTATATTCGGGTGCTAAAATTTACTATTTACTTATATAAAATATTGTTAGTTATTTTTTCAACAGCTTTATTATGTATGTATTATAATTATTATTATGCGTACCTGTCATTATAATTATTTTTGGCTGGAATATTATTCTCATTATTGTTCGTTAAACCGGCAAAAGTTATCTGGATCGTCGTACGCAACGTAAAATGTACCTCTCACCCTGTGAAATGAAAAAAAAACATAAAATACTTAATTAATGACGAAGATTTATACACTAATATTATTAACATTGTACACCATAAGGTAAACATATATTATTTATTTCATAGAATATATCGTTAGGCATGTTCCCGACATAGTATACGAAATCCGTGTGAACAACTCGCACAAAAATATTACCCATGTGTGAAAATAAAACCAAAAATTAAAAACATGAATATTATTTATTTTTTAAGTAGCTAATGTTATTAAGTATCATATAAAATAACATAACATTTAATACTATACATTCGATTCTACTGAAGACTTTTTAAATGTATTAATTTCTTAATCATCTTTTCTTTTATAAAATTAATACTAAAAAAAACATTAAAAAGGATTCATAATAAATACTCTTTCTGTGAAGTGTATATTATCGGTCTTTTTGCCTTAAGCCAAACCAGAGAGTCGTGACCGCTAAATTGAGGAATGACTTTTTTGTTTTATTACTTGCGATAGCGAGAGTGAACAAATGTTAGTGGCAATAAGGACACTAATCACGTGATACCTTAATTAATTGCAGTTTATATTTGTTCAATAAATTATAAATTACGTATAATATACCATTCTGGCGTCTGTATACCCATAGGCACGACATTGAGTCGTTTTGAGAATGTTGGTAGAATAACTCTGTCACAAGTTTCCGTACACTGAATGCCCAAAAACACGTTGCCCCTTCTCGACAGAGATAACGCAAAATAACATACGCTCTTCAAATGGCTGCACCGGGATTGTCCTAAAAAAATATTATTATAATCACTGATCTTTAGATATATTTATAAAAATATTTTATTCTATAGATTAATAACAAAATTATAAGTACAAAGCTAATGTCAATATTCGAACAGTCGCACTTTGACGATAAATCTAAATATAAGAAAATTAAAAAAAGAGCTGATACTGGAGACAATTTGACCTAGTTTACACATTGAAGAAGTCATTGTAGTTTTGTAGTTTTTTTTATAAATAAGATAGTAAAGAAGTATTATATATTTATAGTAAAGAAAACTGCCAATTTTATTTAAAATGTTTGTTAATTTCTGAGTACCTTAGCAGCAAAAGAAAATTTAACTAATAATACTTTGCTTAGAATAGTTTCTCGACATAACCTAAACGAGAAAGTAGAGTTAATATTGATTTATTAATATGTACAGATATGAATTAGGTAAATTACTCTATATATTACATCTTTTCAACTTCCTTCCTAAAACAGTGGCATATTCGATGCAGTATCAGTGTTTAATCTTTAAAATAAACTATTTGTTAACGCAACAATCAATTTGTATTAAAGAATTTGTTATACAGAACCAAAATTGTATAGAGAATAACTGAATATAATCTCATTTTGTGCTCGTCCAAAATTAAAAAACATTACATTTATTTAATTATCAAAACAAAAATCGCTCCAAGTGAATTTATAATGTGTACATTCGCGTAACTTATCATAATATATTTTCTAATTTGTATGGTTTTTGTAAACTTTTGTAGATTATTCTTATACTATAATAAATGTTTACAAGTAATAAACATATTCGATGAAAGTTATTCTCAATGACATATAATTAACGAAAAACCAAAAAAAATAAATTAATCTCCGTCAATCTATGAATAGATATAAAATATTATTTGCAACTAATTTTAATGTTTTTGAGAATCGAAGAGTGGCGAGGGGATCTATTTGGTTTTTTTTATTAACATTTTCTGTCTGTAAAACAATTTTTGGTAAAAAAATGAATTTATTTTTTTTACGAAAATCGTTAATATTACGGCCTTTTAAAATATTAACAACCGAACTTCGCTCCAAATCGTTTTTCGTTCGTTACAGGTATAAATTAAATAACTTTATGTATCCCACCTTCCCAATTATCCACCAAAACCAGTGACCATACCCATTCCCAGAATCAACTCTTTTTATTTCTGTCACAGAGTGTAATACGTTTTCTAGAAGGTAATTCGATAGTAATTGAAAAAAAAAAAAAATAAAAAAAACCAAGAGTTAAATCAGTATTATTACTGAATCATTTGATTTTCCGTTGAGAAATCGAGTTTTAAAATAGATCGAGCAAAATACAAGTATTCTAATTATTTTCTTTTTCTTTTTTCATTATGAAGTATGACGTAAACCCATCAAAATTATTTTTGTAATATCATACTTTTTTGATTTTAAATCATCACATTATCTTATTATAATTCACCACTATAATAACGTCCAGTACATATATTAATCTCTAAAGCTTTCGACTGTTTTAAAAACTAATAATATTAAATAATTCTAATTTTTAACTATATGATATTATATTTTATAATGTTTTATTATATTTTACGTATGATATTTCCTTCGCTAGTGCAGACCGGTTGCATGCGACCACCGTTAATGCTAAAATCAACGTGTCCTATTTGAGGAAACTCTCCATAAAGTCCCGAATTGGTGTGTATGACTTCGACGAAATTGGCGTCGTCTCTCGTCAACCGAAATTCATCCCTCGTAAACATATCTATGAGCGGTCTTGCCGGATCCAAACCTGCAAAATTAATTGATTGTAAAAAGTGTTACCTAGGTATATTACTAACGCAGTAACGCCTTGAGAGGTTTTATAGAAGTTTTACAGTTTTTGTATGGTGGACACATTGTAGACAAAATATAGTTCAACAATGGAATTAAAAACAGACAAAATTTAATAAATAAAACATATATTATTCACGTTAGTGAAAACAACGTGCTTTTTAAAATTGAATATTTACGATTTATGAAAAGCTAACGTGTATCGAGTTATGGAACTGAACATATTTTTAAGGCGTATTGAATAGGCAATATTGTTTACATTTTATTAGTTTTAAATACTTGCAGCATCTACTGCATGATATTATATACTGTTGACTGTTGGTGTGTCTAAATATATGCTATATTATGTTGTATAGCCAATATCGTTTGGAAAAAAAGAAATATTTTTTGCTGTTGCGGTGTCAACTATTCATCACTGAATGACTCAATTTCATAACGATTGGCCTTGTCGATTTTTTCACCAACGATTGGGCTCTTTGCGCGCAGCTATTTTTTCATTCGTCCTGCGCGTGCTGCTAGCCCTCTGGTTGCCCATACCATCGTAATAGGACGAATCTCGGTCCGACAGTGGGGTACATCTAAGGTTGACGGTTTTTTCGGTAAATCGGTTATTGATCGAATACCGTTTGAATAGCATACCGTAATACCAAAGTTTGTCTTTTATATTAATTTCAAATGAAGTCTAATATACTTCTATACGTGGCAAACATTTTAGAGTCGCTAGATACACACATTTTCTAAAATATAAATTCCGAAAAAAGTCAAGACTTTCCGAGATAATGTGTGCCCAACGTTATATTGATATATTGATCACCTTGTATACTATAAGATCGTAACGGTTCTCAGAACTAGAACTGGAGTAGCAATAGTGTAGCGTACTTGTATGCATAGCATAAGCTTAAAAAATTGAAACAAATATTTTATCTATATATATAAAAGCGAAAATGGAAATCTTTGTAACGAGTTGACTTCGAAACTACTTATTCAATCATCATGTAGTTTTTTTTTTTAAATTAAAGAGGACTTCACAGAACAGGTTTAAGGCATAAATTTATTTCGATAAAGTTAGTAAATAATTAGTTATTAATTAAAATAAATGTGTAAATTGTATACCAATATACTTTAGTAACACGGATAAAATATAAAAATAACTATGTGCTATACTGGGTTGGTATCTATGATTTCTTTCCAATTATAATTTCCTATATGTACTGTCTTCAATATCTATATCATTATCGTACAGTTTACGACCGTCTTACAACGTCCACAGTGAATTAAGTTACAACGTATTACAATATCCACAGAACAGACATTTTAAACGCACACATTAAGTTGAAACCCATACTACGCCACTATGCAGTAGGTACGCATGTTCAATTTTGTGCCCGATTGTCGGTCTAAACGAAACCATATTAAAACATATTAGCCCCTTCGGAAATTATAACGATAAAATAATTATAATTATTATTAAAATATAATAATTATAATAAATACTTCATTATTATTATAATTACATCGATGCGATTATAATTATATCATTGTTATACATGGTTTAATTTATATCTAATTTTGTTATATTACAGCTTTTTGTCTGTCGTTATTTTCCAGTTAATGCATATTGGGGTCAGTGTGGCACCACGCTATTTGTTTTTTTTTTGTTTTTTTTTTTTTACCATTTCCATCTATTATATTATAGTATCGTTTAAATTATTATACGCATAATTATACCGATTTCGGCCTCATGTACTTTGCAAAATTGACATAAACGTATTTTTGGGAGACGTCTGGTGAAAATCTTAATCTTTATAAAGAATACGGTCCGAACAAAAAAAAAAAAAGAAAAAAAAAGTAAATAATGAACAATATTGGGTTGCCAACCGACCAGGTTTTATAACTCCTAAAACTTCCTAACTCCGAGTCCCTAGGTTTGTCACTGCCGTCTTTCACAGGCGGTGACACTTTGGCGGTGTTGACGGAGATTAACAGTCCTTGATAAATGATAGGTGGGTGGAGGACACACATTATAAAATTGTAAGAATTCTTAATACTCTATGACACACACTTACCTATTATCTTGTGTTGTCTCTCAGACAAGTGATTGCTGATCATGCCGCATATGTGCGCCCCGAGACTATGGCCGACGCAGTGTATGCGATAAGCGGAAGCGCCCGAATACGTGAGTCGCGAGTACAACTGGGCAGTGCACTGGCTCACCAGACGCGTGTTTCTCAACGAAGACAGGTAACAGGGGTACACGGTTAGCGGGCTCCAGTCTACCATGAATACGTTGAAGTCACCTCGCATCAAATATGCTAAAATATTTTTATAGAACACAATATAATATACCGACTAAAAAATGAAGAAAATATTCCTAAAATAATATGTTTGATGGAGTATTGTCCCAAATGGCTGCAAAACTTGGACAATTGATATAAAAGAGAAAAATTAAAATGTGGTGTTATATCAATAAATGCTTAAGATTTAGAAGACTAGATTAATCGATAATTGACCAGGAATTACCGAACTAGAAAAAGGAAAAACGAGAGCTTTGCCATATAGTATTCAAAAGGAACAAAATAAAAGGGACATCTATACTGTGTCATGACGGTTTGATAATTACCGTCATAGAATCATTTTTTTATGACGTAATAAGTCATATCGGAAGTGGTAGACTAAGAATGGGAATAGGCGTTCAAGAAATTATGATAGACAAAGATAACATAAGGATAGGATGGATAAGGATAGTTATAAGGATTTAAATGAATGGAGATCAGTTACAAATCGATTAGATAATTGAAGACGAAAAGGAGAAGAATAAAATGGGTGAAAGGAAATCGAGTAGAAAGAAGACAGAGTTATTGTTAGTATATAAGACTCTAATTAATTATTATGTTTTATTGTTAAAACATGGTGAAATTTATTCGAACGAAAGACATATTTTTATAAATAAAAGTTGATTATAATTAAAAACAAAAAAACAAAAAAAAAAAACAATTGCTTACCGTTCCTAAGTATGACCATGGACCTATCGTTTTCCGCTCCGTTAAATCCATGTATAATAAGAACATTCATTTTGTTTGGATCCCAAGTACCATAGTTGTACAGTGACATTGTGTGTTTTAGATCGATTTTAATTCTTCTCCACGGATTTCTAGAAGAAAAAAAAAAAACTTCTTCAATAATTTTTTTCGAAACGATAATTTTGATAATTAAACAAAAAAAACCTGCTATATAAGTAAAACGACACATCGGGATCCGGACAATGAAATTCCTGTTTAAATTTACATCGCCAGAATGTTAAGTCTTTGGAACCGAAAAATAAACCTGAAACTATTATTGTTGTTGTTAAAGGAAGCTATTATAATATAAATTATTGTAAGTAAATCGTTGTTATAATAATTTTTTAAGATAAGTAAATATCTCCCGGTGACGATAAAAGTTATTTTTCAGTCAAATTTAAAAAGTTATACAATGATGTGTTCTATTTAAAATATAAGACACTCATTAATCATTATCTTGGAAAGTATCAACTTTTTTAGATTTTTTTTTTAGACAATTTAAGAAACAAGATGCTAAAATAATGTAAAACGTTACATGGACGTTATTTTTAGTCGTCCTTATTTTTGGTGATTAACTATCACTATCCCATTTCTGATTTTCAAATTGCAACATACCTATATTAAAAATTTCGTAAATACCTAAATAAAGTTAATTAAAAAAAAAAAGTGTTAACAAAAATACGATAAACTGTGTTCATTTTAATTATAAATAATGATGTTCAGATAAAACCAATTTCTAAAAAAAAACACGACAGGTGATTATGTGTACATGATATACTTATGTATATATATATATAATGGTACGTTGCCTATATAACATAATGGAATCCAACAAAGTTAATTGTTTTTGTTTTTATTTACACTTAAAAAATAAACTACGGCAATATCGAAGCATAATCATTTTGAAATCATAATTGTATAAATTTCAACGACAGGTGTTACGCGAATAATAAGTTATTAAAAAATTAGGAGCGAATAAAATAATAATCGATACTGCCAGTTATTTGAAAAAAATGTACCCGTTTTTCTGGAGGATATTTTTTTTATTTACAAACGAATATTTTCGGTTTAATCGATAACGGTTAATACTATATTCGATTTGTTTAAAACGAAAAAATGTGCAGAATAAAATACATTTTATACCTATATACATTTACGGTGACGAACGATCCATAAATAATTAGTTGTAACCTGATTAAAGTAATAAACCTATTAGTGCGAATCGACATCAAGGAGTGATCTGTTTTGTAATAGAATCTGTAATGAAATTGCACCGCAATTTCGTCCTAGGAATTTCCTCCATAACGGACACTGAATCTAATTCTTAAAAGTTTAAATAGTAGGTAAATACGAATATGAATAGTAATTGGTTTGGATTCAATTTTTGACAATATCTATAATCTATAATTACAATATATAGTCGAGTATGGATTTTAAAACATAATAAAAACTCAACAAATTATGTAAATTAAAGTATAAAGCAGTATAAAAGTCCGTGTTTTATTTTTTTAAATAAGTAATAAAAAAAGACGGACATACTTCGCACAACGGGTAGACCACTGTTATAGGTGAAAAATAAAAATGTTAGGATGTAGAGGGGAGTTTAATTTAAATCTGCACCCAACGATAAACAATTGCTAACGAAGAAACGATTTGGAGTAAATTTCTTTTATACATGTACGTAAATTTTCCCATTTTTCTGAACTGTTATGAAAACCTCTTGGAATCTTAAAAACCGATCTCTCTACTAACTAGATAGAATTTCCTTTCAGAAAAGTTACTACACTTGATACACCAGTAAAATTTCTGATAAGGAAGTTGTTCAAAGATAAAAAATAAAAATAAACATGGTTATAAAACTAATATATTCCTCGCTATGCTCCGATTCTAAAACTGAATAAAGCTCTTAATTTAATGCATTTTAAAATCAGAAAAAAGTAATAGATTTTTATAAGCTGGTTCTGATTCTCCTGCCATTTAAATTTTACATGTATTGCATAATATTTATTAGGGGCGATCCAATACATAAACGGATGTTTGATATCAGCTGATACCACTGAGGTATCGGTTTTTTTTTCAAAACCAACATTTGACTCGATATTTTAGGAGAAAAACATCTGCCTCTGAAATATGGAGAATCGGATTTTTAACCGACATACCCGATTATTACAATCGATTTTCGATTTCAAATATTGGATTTCGGGTATAGCTTTTATATCAGTAGCATACTCGTTTATTAGAAATCGATAAAAAGTATCATCATTCATTAATATCTATTGTTTTTCTCGGATAATCCGCAACACGCGTTTGGGAGGAACTACATCTCATACTTCGTATAGGCCACTCGTAATACACCAAAGTCACATATGTCATCCACTCACACCATTTGATGAATTATTAGATTGTTATATCTGATATCAGCAGCAAAACGATTGTGATTTTCAAGTCGATAAGTTAGGTGTCAGTATACAGAACATTAAATATCGACCAATCAACGGATTGAATCACATAAATGACCAGAACTTGATTGCATTATATACATTTTTCTACATTCTAGTATTCTAAACTAAATTAATCAAAAATTCATAACGTAACCTATAGTTTATAGATATTAGGTATATTATGATCTAGGGCCTTACAAATGTGTTTACTATATTTAAATGTAGTTATTATTGAATAAATAATTTGAATAGCATGCAAAATAATAAGAAGTATTATGTAAAATTACCATTTTTGACGAATGCAAACATACATATCGATACCACAATATCAGTTACCATCAATTTAATCTTCATAATTATTCCATTCGAACCGTTTTTGGCGATATTTATACAGTTAACTATGGATGATGCATAGTGCGTAACTTGAAATCAGCATTATTTAGACAGCTAAAAATATTATTGAACATCGTCATTATAACACGGTATGAAAATGTTATATTCAAAACAAGGGACAATCATTTTCTGGAGTCTAAAATCACGGAACATAATAATCCGTAACCAAGTAATCTAATATTTCGAAGTATACAATTCTAGAATAAAATAAAAACCAATGGTTCCTAAGTTTCCTAGATTTCTTAACCGTTCCTAAAACGGAAACCACTAGTCTTTTCACTGATAGGTTGCATTTATTTCACCGGCCTTTTCTCTTCACCCAACCTAAAGCGTTTATCTTCCCAGACTATTTTGCTTACTTTCCCGAATTTATTTAGGACTGTTCATATCATAACCGACAGAATTTTATCAAATTGTGGCTAAACGACTCACTGGTTAGCGTTAAGAAACATTTTATGGAAAGTTATAAAAACGGCCCTTAAAGTGATTGATTATAAAATTTTACGAGGATATTCATTTATTATGGTCTAGAAATTTCCTTGAAAGATTTTAAGAGGACAAGGTACCCGTATGTGCTTTTTCTGTTGAACTAATGGGTGACATAGAAAAAGTAAGTTACTTAGAATAGAGGTCGCTTTAACATGTGTAAAAGACTACACGGATACCTATGACAGGGTTAGAGCCCCTGTAATAAAAATATTCGAGTATACCCACGTATTTAAATAACTATGGGCTTGAATAACCATATATTTCAATAAAATCATATTTCACTACTTCGCAGTTCTGGCTTACGATTGCTCCACTTTCTGGACTCATTATTATATTATTATAAATACATATGTATATTTAAAATATATCTGAATTCTAAATTGATATATAATATACACGGGTAATAAATACACGGATATACACGAGTATTAAATTTTACCAGGGCTCCGTGTACCCGTGTGTTCTGATACCCGTTCACAACCACAACCCCTAACTTAGTACATAAATTGTGACCTTCACGTTGAAATTAAGAGTTTTAACACAAATAACAACAATTAAAAAGAAGAATATTTCAGAGGAATTAACGGATTTTTTTTTCAAAATTATTGGATCATAAATAGATCACCCGGGTAATAAAAACGAATTGAAATGCGTTTCGAATAAATTGTAAATATTTCTCCCGTTCGCTCATATAAATATAATATGTCAGCTTATAATTTTTTTAAATCAATATAAATCGAAATATTAACGACAATTATATTTCTATGAGATAACGGGAAAAATATTTACAATTTATTCGAAACACATTTCAATTCGTTTTTATTACCCGGGTGATCTATTTATGATCCTGTAATTTTGAAAAAAAAAAATCTATTTCAATAACTTTGTAATAAATTACCCAACATTAATATTCAATAATAATTATATACATTTACTCAACACCATACCGTATATTAAATAATATTACAATAGATCTAATAAGAATAATAATATAGGTAACCATCATAATGACAAATGAAATATCGTATATTAATAATTAGGCAACTACTAAATGTATTTTAAGTTTAGATCAGCAAGCAGTGGCTCTAAGCTAAAGTTGAATCTGATTAAGTTTGGTAATATTTTAAAATTAATACCAATTAATAATATTATTCACTTTTTCATTCATCATTTATTTACCAATTATCATCGAAAAATAAAAGCCGGGTATAATTCGTGCAGTGGATAAGCCACTTGCATTAGTGAGAAATTGGGAACGTACCCATAAAGGATATAGAGTAGGTAATTTATAGTTTGTATACTGAAAACAACGGTTTAAAGTGGAGTTCAATGAACTGGTATTAGTCGTGTTATTTTCCCATGTAACATATTGTACTTGCACTGTCATCTGTTATCGATGTTTTTTTTATTTTTAAGAAAAACTGTTGGAAATCTAAAAAATGATTGCAAATAACGTATCATCGGGCAAAGTATTCACATTTTTTAAAGTAGGTGCGTACGATGTGAACAATTTTAAGAATTTTTACTAACCGAAATAATATTAACAATTATAACTCAGTAACTCAGAACCGAATACTAAATAAATATATAACTTCAACACTCGTTATAAAAAAAATTGACATAGATATAAATTTAAATTTGAATACCGTAAAATAGGGTGAATAGAAACAAAATCAGGAAAATTATTATATCGATGTTTACATCGTTAATTCACGATAATTCATTACCT